ATGCAAAGAAATCTGAAGAAATTTCATAACAAGCATAATGGACATGGAACTGTTTTGTAATAATTTATGAATACTGTATACAAACCTAATTATTGGGGATGTTTACGTATGAATCTGTTGATTTAATAATGGGAAAAACAATGGCTCCAGATAAGTCATTGCTTGGTAAGCCCGTAGCAGGTTAAGAAACAATGCTGGACAGGAAGAGACATGGAAACACAAGATCAAAAGCACTCTAGAAGTTTAAAAAGGGACTCAAAAGAGAGGGAGGCAGTCGTTGGGGAGATCTTCCAGGAAACCAGGCTGATACAAACACCCACTGGCGTATATGAAGTTAGGCTTGCCTAGGTGATCATCAGGGGGTGGTAAGCCTTTGGTATGATAGACATGCTTGTAGACTGTTTTAAAATCCCCCTTTGCTCTAAATGCTTTGTTCTTATTGTGAGAATAAACAATTGTGTTTAAAGAGACTGTCTGGTCACTATATACACCATTGGTCACAGACGCCCAAAAGGGAAGAACCACAGATGCCTAACCCAGCAGGACCAACTGTGTAGGCCTAGTGGATATATAGGGTGCTGCAGTCCATGACCTAATCTAAGAGTGGGAGAATTGTGGAATTCCCCCTCAAGTGAAGTGAAGACATGAGGTCTAGCACTTGGAGAGACCAGAAGGGAAGAGGGACAGCTAGCCCTTTAACAGTTACAGCAAAGAACTGTCATTGGGTGCAAAGAGCCCAGAACAGCCAGCATATAAACCAGATGGAACAGTTCCACCACCCAGGACTTTGCCAAAGCTATGCAGGAAACAGTGAAGCCTTTTTTCACCTTATTTCAGCCACAACAATTATTTCAAGAACTCTTTGCCAAACAGAATTTCTGCCAGTGATGCCTCATCCATCTTCCTTCCCACTTTACTTGACTAACATGGGAGGACATAAGTGAGGATAACAGCATTTAGAAGCCAAAAACTTGGGACAACAATGTCAGCAAGATCAGTGACCTTAAAAGAAATATATTTATTTTAAAAGTCAAGTGGCCATTTTTATCTTCAACTTTTATTTGGTTACTACACCTGTAACTTCTCATTTATTTTAGTCTACATCATTGAGGTTGATAAAATACTAGAGTTATACTGATTCCTTTAAAAGAAAAGGAGTACTTGTGGCACCTTAGAGACTAACCAATTTATTTGAGCATAAGCTTTCGTGAGCTACAGCTCACTTCATCGGATGCATACTGTGGAAAATACAGAAGATGTTTTTATACACACTGACCATGAAAAAACTGATTCCTTTAGTGACTTTCACCTAGGGGTCTCATTCATTAAGCCTCATGCTGCTCATACGTAGAAGAGAACAGAAGGAGAAAACTGAGGCAAAAAGATGAAATGACTTGTCCAGTCACGGGCGAGTCACTGCAAAAAAACAGAGAACCCAAAGTCCCAACTCCATTTCCCCCCAACCACTAGACTTCAGTCTCTGCTTATAAATATTAGAATTTATGACTGACTCACAATATGACTCACAGTTTATTTTAATCCTCTCCCCATCTTTCACAACCTGCTTTCTGCATCTGTTATATTCATATTTTAGATTCGTTTAATACAGATCAAAAATCCAGAGGCCAGGGACCATGCCTTTTTAAAAGTCTCTGACAGCTGATATGCAAAGTTATGGCATTAGATAGATAACAATACACACTCTCCCTCCATGATCCAGGTTGTCCAGTATCCTACTTGTGCAGCCATGTAAGAGTCCCAGATTTGATTGCTGGCTTCTTCCTCAGCAAACCTGGTGAAGTTTAGCTTGAAGTCTTCCAGTGGATGAAAAGCTGAAGCTGATGTGACCATTTTTCAATCCTCCTTCACAAGGAGGAGTGAAAAGAGGGAAAATAAGCTGATTCCACAGAACGGCAGTGGGGAAAATTCCATTCATAGAAATGTCTAATTAGGATATGTAACTTCAATATATTACCCTCAAGCACAAATCTCCACCAGCTGCCTATTTCAGAAGCAGGTAAATGAGCATCCTTCCTAATCTCTACACTGTTCTATCCTTTTCTCCACCATGAGCTACAGATCCTTCTTCTTGTTCCCACCATACAAAACTGCCTCTACACCAGACTAGTTTTAAATACCATAGCTTCTCTCTGATACTTCCTGGAGCATTCCAAATCCGACTTCCTGGAGGCTCCAGCAAACCCTGTGCTCAGTCTCTTCAAAATGTGATCACTGCACCTCCTTTCTCCTGCTTTTCCTCATCTATAGACACCATGAGAGATTAGCTGACATACTTTTTTATATTTATGTTTACTAGAGGACTCCTCTCAGCAGAAGTGGAAATTAGAGGGGGGAAAATAATAGATTAAAGTGAAAACAGATCAATTTCTTTTAAGTCTGCCATCTCATAATATAAAAGCAAATGGTCACGTAAGTTAATGGTATGTGATTTTAGAAGAAATAAAAGGGAATATTTTCACTGCAGTACATAAAGATCCTGTGGGATTTGCTGAAGATGGTTAGAGTCCGATATGGTGATTGGAATTAAGAAACACTTGACTAAATTTGCAATTAACATTTGGAACCAGAGGCAGTAAAATGACACAAAGGTAATGAAGTCCCCACATTTCAGGGTATAAACTGAACACTGCAGGATCAGAGTGTAATTCTTTCACGTGTATGCAAACTCAACCCTGTGCAACAGTAATGCTTAGCACATATGCAGCACTTTTCATTCCACAGATCTCAAAGCACTCCTCAGCAATGGAGAAACATTACACCATTTTGCACATATGGACACAAGCAGAGAGAGAGAGAGAGAGAGAGATTGATTTGCTCAAGGCCACACTGAGTCAGTGACAGAAACAAGGAACAGAACTCAAGTCTTCCCATTCTTATTCTTGTGTTCTAGTCCCTGCAGCACTGTACAACTGACCAGCTTTCACGGCCGGGACTGTCTATTTCTCATGCAGCAGATATTGATAGCCACTGAAGACAGGTTACCAAACTAAGAAGACCAGTAGTCTGACACCGGATATGTATATGTTCCTAAGGATTGTATAATCGCATAGGAATCCATGAGTACCTACAATTATACTGTTACTGTAGCAGATGCCAGCAGAAGACTCTAATCCTCCTCCACCAAAAGTATAACTCGTGGGACCACAATGGAATAAATTAATTACTTCCAATGAAGTTAACAATCTGGTGGGTCAATTTGAGTAATATGTTTCTCATACAAATCTCAGAATCCTTTCTAAAAACTCATATGATTTCACTATCACAGTCCAAAGAGCTTAATACGTTCTCCTTGCACAGTTTCTGACAAACAGGGAGATAATGCCTTTTTTAATGGCTCAGACACAACTGGACCTAGAATGCTTTATTTGGTATTAGGCACCACATTACCAGAAAGACATTGACAAACTGATGAGAGGTCAGAGAAAAGTAACAAAAGTGATCAAGAGGCTAAAGGAACCAACTTATTTATTGTATGAGGAATGATCTGGCTCTTCTAATAGTGTAGCTAAGCAACAACTAAGTGGAGGCATAACAGCTTATGAACATTGGGTGTAAATACAAGGAAGGGAGATAAAATTAAGGTGGTTGAAAAGATGTGCTATGAGTCTTAATTTCATGCCATTACTCCAATCAGGGAGACTGTACCAACCACAAGAACTAGCTAGAGAGAGGGGTAAGTCCTATCATTTGGAATCCAAGATGTTCATTTTTGCAGCAACATCATACTGCAAACTTATGTCTCCCTTGCTTTCTATCACTGCCTCGTGGTCTTTTATGGCATTCCTTCCTCCTATTGTGTATTGTTTCTGATTATTCCCCTCCCCCAACTATATTAGCTGAATTTTTCCTAACCTGAATCTCCGAGTTTTCAGTTCATGATTCTAGTCGCCCAGCCTAGATCCCCTTGTATAATTTCTCTATCCCCACTATGCCTTCCCTCCCATCCCGCTGCTTTTTCCATGTCTGTGATGCAATTTTTTTTGTATTTTTAAAACGAAACGCCTACATCTTGGGTCTGGAACGACTCAGCAACGTCTCTACAACAACAAGGTGTAACCAGAGACTAGGAAAGGATCGGGTATGAAAGCGATCAGTCCCCCCACGCAAAACATTCATGAGCTGGGGGAGCCGGATGCAAGGCAGAGTTCACCGGCCAGCAGACGCGTGCAGGACTGATGATGAGCACGGCATCAATAGGGCCCAAAGGGGGGAGTGGGGTCTGCCGGGGGTCTGCGAGGACACTGGGCCGAAGCCCGCTCCCCGCAGAGAGCCCGGCCAGCCCCGCACAAAGCACGTGGCGCGTCTCGCGGGGCGGCCGCGGCAGCCCGAGGATGCCCCGGCGCCGTTTAACCCCCTTCCCCGCGCGCGCCGCGGTCCGGCTTTAAAAGCCAGAGAACGACGCGGCCCCGCTCCCCCGGCAGCGCCGTCCGGGGAGGGAGGAGGGGGGGCGCCTCCGCCTGGAGCCAACCGTCGGCGACGGCGCCGGGAGCGGGGAACCCAAGATCTCAGCACAAGCCGCCCCGCGTGCCCGGGGGCAGCGCGCGGGGAGCAGCGGCAGCAGCAGCAGCCGCCCCCCGCGCTGGGGCACGGGACTGACCTGCCGGCCGCTCCGGGCTGGCTTCGTCTCCAGGCGGCGCTTTCGGCAACTCCGTCACCTCACGTCATACACAGCCCTCGGCGCACACCTATGGTATCACTCCGCCGGGCCGCCCCTTCCCCCCACCCCGGCGGCGCACCCCTGTGACGGACACACGAGGCGACCCACCCTCGCCAGGGCGCGAGGAGATCGGCTCCAACCAAGCGGGAGGGAGAGCGGGGAGCCGCTGCCCAATCCTCGGCTGAGAAGGGGATTGACAGGGCGGCGCACCAATCGCTCTCGGAAGAGCGCCTCGACCCACATGTGCCAATCAAAAGCGAATACGGCAATATAGTGGTGCGCGGGAGAGAGAGGACAGCCCATTGGTTGAGTGAATGGTCCGAGAAGAGGGGGTTATGATCGGCTGCGCCGGGAAGGGGCGGTGCCGTGTGAGGCTGTGTTGCTAGGCAGGGTAAAATGGCTGCGTTAGACAGGGTGAAGGTGCTGGTGCTGGGGGACTCAGGTGAGTGACTGAGTGAGGGTCCTCCCCACCCCCTCACCCGCACAGGGGCGGTTCCGCCTGTCGCGTGAACGAGTGTCCCAGCGCCACGCGGGCGGCGGGGACCGCTCCTCCCCGGAGCGGTTCCCTTCGGCCCCGCCCTCCCCCCTACGCCAGGCCAGCGGCACCCGGCTCGCGCCGCGGGTGGTGTGAGTCGCCGCTGCCGAACCGCGTCGGGACCTGCCACGTGACCAGGCTCTGACGCGGCGGCCGACGCACGTGTCTGGGCAACAGCCCTGGCGCGCGGACCCTTTGGGCCCTGAAGGTAAACGGGGGCAATTCCAGCCCCAAAGGAGACTTCCTGTAAAAGTGAAAAAGGGGTGAGAGTTGGGCCGGACAGTCGAAACTCCTTCGGCCTTCCTATAGTGTCTGCCCTGCTGTGTGCTCATCCTCACCTTCAGAACAGCCGCTTGTTCCCACCCTTCACTAAGTACATGCGTTTCCAGATTGGCTTTTTCTTAGTGCATCCTTTGACTGAGCTCATGATCGCCAGAAGAATCCTGTTAGTTTCAGGTTTCAGAGTGGTAGCCGTGTTCGTCTGTATCAGCAAAAACAAGGATGAGTCATTGTGGCACTTTAGAGACTAACAAGATTTATTTGGGGCATAAGCTTTCCTGTGATAGAACCCACTTCATCAGATGCATGGAGTGGAAAATACGGGAGTAGGTATAAATACATGAAAAGATGTGAATTACCTTACCAAGTGTGAGGTCAGTCTAATGAGACAATTCAATTGACAGCAAGATACCAAGGGAGAAAAAATAACTTTTGAAGCGGTAATGCGAGTGGCCCATTTCAGAGAGTTGATAAGAGGGTGTGAGTAACAGTAGAGGGAAATTAGGGCTGGGGAAATTAGGTTTAGGTTTTATAATGACCCAACCACTCCTGGTCTTTATTCAGGCCTAATCTGCTGGTGTCCAGTTTGCAAATTAATTCCAGTTCTGCAGTTTTACGTTGGAGTCTGTTTTTGAAGTTTTTTTGTTGAAGAAAGTGCCAGCAACACCCTTCTGCCATGTACGTTGGTCAAACCGGACAGTCTCAATGCAAAAGAATAAATGGATACAAATCTGACATCAGGAATCATAATATTCAAAAACTAGTCGGAGAACACTTCAGTCTCCCTAGTCACTCAATAACAGACGTAAAAGTGGTACTTCTTCAACAGAAGAACTTCAAAAACAGACTCCAATGTGAAATTGCAGAACTGGAATTAATTTGCAAAGTGGACATCAGATTAGGCCTGAATAATGACCAGGGTCATTATAAAACCTAAACCTAATTTCCCCAATCGTAATTTCCCCCTACTGTTACTCACACCTTCTTGTCAACTGTCTGAAATGGGCCACTCTCATTACCACTTCAAAAGTTATTTTTCCTCCCTTGGTATCCTGCTGTCTGTTGAATTGTCTCATTAGACTGACCTCACACTTGGTAAGGCAATTCACATCTTTTCATGTATTTATATCTACTCCTGTATTTTTCACTCCATGCATCTGATGAAGTGGGTTCTAGCCTACGAAAGCTTATGCCCACATAAATTTGTTAGTCTCTAAGGTGCCACAAGGACGCCTCGTTATTTTTGCTGTTAGTTTCATGATCTCCCTATGGAAGGGTGCAGCAATTGGCTAGCTGTATCAGGTGTGTTCTGATACTATGGTTTAACTTCTTATGGTAGGAAGCGCTTTTACAAGTCAAGTCTTCAGTAAGAAGCCAGGTCTAATGGGATTGGGTAGCAAATGAGAATTACTGTAAGAAATAAAATCGTATCATTCTAGTTTCCAAAGGTTCCACTACATATATTGTTACGTAGTCATATAAGACCAGATGAAGGCCATTAGAATATCTGGAATGGTTTAATGACACACTCTCCCCCCAAAAAAAAAAAAAAATTAAAAAAATATATAATTCTTTGAGTCAGAGGAGAACAAACCTTTCCAAGCAAAAGAAACTCAAACAAACCAACAAAAACCATGGGAACAACCAGAGGATGGGGATGTACAACAGCCACTATCAAGTATAAAAGTAACTAATTATGCTTTTAATTTTATATGTTCCATAGTCATCCAGTTTTTGCTTAAACATATTTTTGCAATTTTTGACTGAAAATCCATTCCAACTCTTCACTATTCCTTTATAAAATTCTCTTTTGTCTTGTTCTGGTCTGTCCAGAAATTTCAAGTAGATTGTTAAGCTATGACCTATGTTAAGTTACCAGATATCATGAATGATGAGCATGGTGTAAATTCTTAAAAGTAAGCTTAATTTTAGAATAACTTAGTTTAAATATATTAATCATGTCCCTTCTTCATTGTCCTCCCCCAGTGTTATCACTCTCACTGCTATTTAACACCCACTAATCCTTTACTATTGTAGTTGCCTAACGCTGCACTCTCTCCAATTCAGTTAGATTTTTTTCAAATAGGGTGCAGTAGATACTATGGTTCAAATGTGACTTACCCATTTCTATATAAGCAATAGCACACTGTTTTCAGACTTATGTATTCCTCTTGACAAAAGCCTGTATACTATTATCCTTCATTTTACAAACCTCAGTATTTATAGGGTATGTCTACAGTGGAGCTGGAGATGTGATTTCCAGTTCAGGTAGGTGTGCTAAAAATAGTGTAGCCTGAGGCTGTACAGGCAGCAGGATGGGCTAGCCACCCTGGTTAAATATCTAGAGCTTCAGACGGGATTGTGCTTGAGGCAACTAGTGGTTCCCACAGCCCGTGCAACCACAGTTATACTACTATTTTTAAGCACACTAGCTCAGTCAGCTAGCACATGTACATCTGCCTGAGCTGGAAATTTCACCTTCCACTCCAATGTAGAGATACCCATCGTGTTCCTATCACCAATATTTTCTTTACTGCTGCTGCACACATAGACATAGATGTCTAACAATACATCTAGGTCACTACCCTTTGTTATAGTAATTAGTTCATTGCCGTTTAATCTATACTTAGCATCAATACTATTTCTACCCAAGTGCATCATTTTATACTAAGATGTGTTATATTTAGAATTCCACTGCGGAGCCTTTTTGCCAGATTTGCCAAGATTATTCCAGCCTGTTCAATTGATCTAAGATTACGCTATCCTCACTCTTGAGTCTTAACTATACTCCTATTTTGGTATCACTGGTAAATGTAAAGATCATGCATTGTCAACTATGCAGCTTCAATTTATGTTTGTTTTTTCAGGTGTTGGGAAGTCTTCACTTGTTCATTTGTTGTGCCAAAACCAGGTGTTGGGAAACCCATCTTGGACTGTGGGCTGCTCAGTGGATGTCCGAGTAGGTGAAACTTTCTAAACTTGTAGTGCATAGTGTGTCTGTGCTTCAAAAATTAGAAGAAATGAACCATCTAACCTCTGACACTGTGGGCAGTTCTCTCTAGAGTCACAGGTTCAGATCTCAGCAGGATACTTCCAAGGCCTCTAAATTAAGTTTACTGTAAGTGGGTCTTTCAAATGATATCTTAAATACTTATGCTTAAGTCTTGTCTATTTTGTATCGACATTAAAGGATATCATGGCATTTTCTTAGTGGAAGGGGTTTACCTGGTGTCTTTGGTTAAAATTTCCTCTTCTCTCACTTACCTATAATGAACTGACAGCTGCCCTCCACCTCCTAGGTAGCTGCATTTCAGTGATGATGTATGTAAATTGTTTAACACTTTGGGATCCTTTGGGATAAAAGGTGGTAAAGGAAGGTAAGATATTCTCATTATACATTGAGCATTTTTGCTTGCAAAAATTGGGCTTTACAATGGTACCCTCTAAAGAATCCTAGATATGTGTCCATTATAGAAACATCATATTATAGTGGATATAACTGTATTGTTACTACTGTTCATTGAGTGGTGAACTCCGTATCAGTAGGTGAATAAATTAAACTAAACTCTTCAAAATTCCCTGGAAATCAATTGCCACATATAGCTTAATTCCACACTCATGCTGCCTTCCAAACATATAAAAGAAAAAGATTGAATTTCATTTGTTTATATTATGTAAGAATGTTTTGCTCATGTCATTAATGAGCAGGATGTCTGAAATGCTGCCTTTTTTTAACAGGCGCTGAGAGCAGACGCTAATAGCTTGGGTAATCTAGAAATTTATGAGGAAGTTTTCAGTGATGAGCAACCATCTGCATGACATGGAGAGAAACATCCCCTTCCACGTCTATTGTATATTTCATTTTTTCCAAGGTGTCATGCTTTTCCTGAGGCTAGCGATGATACTGTCTTAATGTCTGAACAGCATCTTTCATTCCAAAGGATCCCAAAGCCCATTTCCAACTTTTTGGGAAAAGAAATCTGGCATTTGTTTTTAATAAGTGCACAGCAAAACTACGCATCAGACTTTAGGAGGAAAAATTATGGATATTGAATTCAATTGAAACTTCAGGGAGAATTTAGAGAGGCAGAAGATAACTAGATCTGGACTTTTGCCAGGACACCAGTGCTAATCTTAATCGTACTACTATTACCATGTGTCCTTTAATGACCACAGGAGGTCGGAACCTCACTTTTTTCATCTGCTCTAGCAGCAGAGTGCCCCTAAGCAACACAGTGAGGATTTAGGTTCACCAATATCTCTGAAGGAAGAAGGCCTTCTACTGGCTCAGTAAGACTGCTTCTTGAAGCACCCGTGGTATCCATTGCAGGTCTCCTAACCTGGCCCAGACATGTGTAGTTTGTGATGAGATCTGATAGCCTCACAGTACACTGTGACTTGATTCCAGTACTCTGATTTAAAAGTTACTTTTCCAACACTGGGAATTTTTGCCCTTCCAGCTGAGGTCAGCATTGTGTGGATCACCTTCTGCAATTGATACTGTGATTATTTATGGATTCCCTCCCCCCCCAGATTCACGACTACAAAGAGGGGACCCCAGAAGAGAAGACCTACTACATCGAGTTGTGGGATGTTGGCGGTTCAGTGGGCAGTGCTAGTAGCGTGAAAAGCACACGGGCAGTGTTTTACAACTCTGTGAATGGTAAAGTATGTTTGGTGTAAATCCATTTTTGTTTCCGACTGCTTTCTCTTGTGATATGTCACTATTGGTTTTGAATCAGGATTCACCCAGGTCTTGCTGGTTTTATTATGATATCTGCACTTAAAAAAGGAAAAAAATTAGGAAAGAATTCATAGATTTCTTAAGTCAAATATATCTGTGTGGAGCCAGCTGTGAGCTGGAAAACGATTCTGAGTAATGATCTGCAAATGAGCAGAATCCAGTATCTCACTCTGTTTCAGCCTTCCTGTGTTTCAGAACTAACACAAGAGGGGGTCTTTGAAACTTCAGTAGGGTTACCTCAGGCTATGCGTGCAGTAATGAAGACATGTTTCACTCTTCCACGCCTCATAAATATACAGGGACTTAAATCTTTTCTTTTCCATTGGCTGGTTCAGGACCTATGCTAGGAAAAATTTATTGGTCGTAAAATCATTTGCGCTAGTCCTGCCAAGTATTTCCAGCCCTGGCAGACTGTGAGATATTGTCCCATAAAACATTCTGATTACCATCATGCCTTTTTTCACTTCATCTGCAAAATAACTTTTAACAGCTGAATCTCACAACCACCTACAGGTAGAAATTAATACTTTATATCATTGGGAAAATGGTATCCTAGCTTTGAAACATTGATTTATATCCATGTAATTCATAAAACATCATCCTTTTAAATTCAAGTCGGGGAGAAAAAAGGAAGGTGCTAATTGGAATACACCTCAACCCCAATATAATGTGGTCCGATATAACGTGAATTCGGATATAACTTGGTAAAGCTGCGCTCCGGGGAGCAGGGCTGCTTTACCTCATTATATCCGAATTTTGTGTTACCGCAAACAGTTCCTCTGCACGTGCCCCCCGCTTTACTTGCTGCGGGCCCCCAGCTCAACTCCGCCGCCTCCCACAAGCACGCCGCAACTCCGCTTCTCCTCCCTCCCAACCAATCAGCTGATTGGTGCGGCAAGCCTTGGAGGGGGAGAAGCGGAGCTGCGGCGCGCTTGTGGGAGGAGGCGGAGCAGCGGTGAGCTGGGGCTGGGAGGCCGCAGCAAGTAAGGGGGGGTGCAGAGGAACTGCTCCCTGCCCCAGCTCACCTCCGCTCCGCCTCCGACTCCTCCCCTGAGCGCGCTCCTGCTGCTCTGCTTCTCTTCCCCCCTTCCTTCCAGGCTTTCTGCGCCAAACAGCTGATTGGTGTAGCAAGCCTGGAAGGGAGTGGGAGAGAAGCAGAGCGGTGGCGGCGCACTCAGGAGGAGGCGGAGCGAAGATGAGCTGGGGTGGGGAGCGGTTCCTCTGCCTACCCCGATATAACACAGTCTCAGCTATGAGACGGTAAGATTTTTTGGTTCCCAAGGACCGCGTTATATCAGGGTAGAGGTGTAATATGATATTTCATGTCCTGTATCTCATTATTTTATGCATTTGTTGGAAACAGAGTAGGAGTGTTCACTGAAAAATTTGAGGCAACCAAAGTTAATGACCACTTCCGAAAATTTTGTCCCAAACATGTTATTTTATTCAGGTTCTTAATCTATATTCCTTATCATGGTATCTGAGTGCTAATCAGTAGTACCTTAAGCAATGTGATCGTCATCTGTCACGTATGGTTCTTAGCATTATTTTTCTCTTCCTCTGCCCGGGAGGAAAATTGTATGGGGATCCTTATTTATTTATTATGTAGGTACCAGTCAGGGTTCTGTAGTTAAGATTTAGTTGATTTTTTTTGCCCTTAAAGCAGGGTGAGACATTGCACTCCATATGCTTTATGAAAATATATTCATAAATGTGAATATGATGTAACTGGAATATGCTTTATGCAAAAGGTCTCTTGTAAGGTATCATTACAAAGCTTATAATCTACTGAGTGTGTTCATCCTATTTGTTTGTATGTATTATTTATACGTCTGGAGTTAGGAGAATAAGATATAAACTTGCATTACTGATGTAAATATATTAAGTGGAAGCCATTAAGGGTGACTCAGAATCAGTGAACTGTAAATGGCTCTGTTTACTTTCAAACCTTCCTGTGTACATGTGGGCCAGTCCAGGAAGAATGGCGGCTGTGGTCTCACAGGATATGTGACCATGTCACATGATACTGGAATCCATCTTAATACTTGTACTTTTCTGTTGATGAGGCGGGGCTGGGGACAAGCACAGACAAAAGATTCCCGCCTTGTGCCAAAGCTATAAAAGGGGATGGAACAGGACAAAGGGGGCTGCCACTCATGAGAAACCCCCTGCTTACTACCTGAGATGTCTGCTGGAACTAACAGGGACTGTACCGGGGAAAGGATTGGGCCCAGACTAGGAAGGAGTCTAGTCTGTGAAAGAAGCTTATTGAAACATCTCTGAGAGTGAGATATTACCTGTAATCAGTTTCTTAATGTTTTAGGATTAGACTTGCGTGTTTTTGCTTTATTTTGCTTGATGACTTATTTTGTTCTGTCTGTTATCATTTAAATCCTACTTTTTATACTTAATAAAATCACTTGTGTTTATTAATAAACCCAGAGTAAGTGATTAATACCCAGGGGAGCAAACAGCTGTGCATATCTATCAGTGTTATAGAGGGTGGACAATTTATGAATTTACCCTGTATAAGCTTTATACAGAGTAAAACAGATTTATTTGGGGTTTAGGCTCCAAGAAAGGCTGAACACTGCGTGCTGGGAAAGTCCCTGTTAACTGAGAAGCCCCTGGGCTGAGCGAATCTCAGTTTCAGTGAACTGCAGAGAGGAGGCGTCTAACCTCTGGGTCTGTGCTGGAGCTGACTGGAGAGTCTAACTCAGCAAGACAGGAGTGGAGGGGCCCCTGTTCTGGCAGGAGGGTTGTTCTCAGTGGTATCCTAGCTCATCGAGTGACAGTCTCGAGGGGAGTCTCTGTGACCAAACCAGTCACACAGGGATTCAGCCTCTTTGTTAGATATGAAAATACAGCATGTCCTCTCCAACACCAAATCCAGGATGTGACACCCTATGTAGGTTAGACTGCAGGTGTCATAGAGAAGCAAATGAGGAAATGAAAGTTTGGGCTTTTCCAACTGAAAGATGTTGAAGTCTCCTCAAAAGTCTGAGGTATTTCAACACCACTCTCGATAAAGTAGCAGTCAGCTCCTTTATGAAACCTTTAGTTTTTGGTGGTCTGTAAATGAGCATGAAAGCTATATTAGCATTGGCTATGGTTTAGATCAGACGTGGGTAAACTGTGGCCCGCGGAATCGTCCTGTCCAGCCCATGAGCTCCTGCAGGGTAGGATACTCCTACTGTCCCCTCCCCTGCTGTCCCCCTTCCCCAGCAGCTACGCCGCCGCGCGCGGCAGTGCTCTGGATGGCGGGGTTGCGCGCTCCTGCAGGGTAGCACAGCAACATGTCTAGCTCCAGCCAGATGGCACAGCGGCCAGACATGCTGCCCTGCGCTTGGATGGAGTGGAGGTTTGGGGAGGGGCGGTTAGGAAACAGGGGGTTGCATAGGTGTGGGAATCCCAGGGGTCATGTGAGGGAGCAGGGGTGTGGATAGGGAGCGGGGTCCCAGGGGGCAGTTGGGACAGGGAGCAGGAGGGGTTGGATAGGGGGTGGGGTCCCAGGGGAGCAGTTAGGGTCGGGGGGTCTCGGGAGGGGGCAGTCAGGGGACAAGGAGTCGGGGGGAGGTTGGATGGGTCGGGCATTCTGAGGGGGGCAGTCAGGGGGCAGAAAGTGGGAGGGGTTGGATAAGGGGCAGGGGCCAGGCTGTTTGGGGAGGCACAGCCTTCTCTACCCTGCCCTCCATACAGTTTTGCAACCCTGATGTGGCTATCAGGCCAAAAAGTTTGCCCAACCCTGGTTTAGATCATCAGACAAATGAATTCCATTGACTTTGTCTGACTGAGGCGCCTCTTGGATTTGATATGAGAAGAGAAGATGAATGCAGTCCTGACTTCTTGTCCTTTCTGGACCTATGATGGGCAGAAAAACTTCAGATTCAGGCGCACTGGGCTTGCAGTTTAAGCCATCCAGGCCTTGATTATGCAGGCAGTATTGGGTGCTTCATTGCTGAAGTGTCTGTAGTTTGCTGTTTGTTTACGCCAGGTCTGGTGTTAATGAGCTTCAACTTGAGTCCTTGTGGCTTTGTTGCATCTGCTGGTTTGTGGACAGGTGATGGGTTTTGAACAGTCAATAGGTGGTAGGTATAACTCTACGCCCCATAATCTTCATAGAAATATTATGATATGAATATGGCATAACTAAGATGGGTCATGTGTGGTATCATTGGAAAGGTTATGATTTACTGAATGTGATTAGCCAATTCGTATGCCTGTATCATTTCTGTATCTGAAGTTAGGAATATTGAGTATGTAACAATTACAACTGTGTGTGTACTTGGGGAATGCCCACCAGACAGTAGGCAATCAGCCTGGATGGGCCATGGGGAAGGATAATAGAACTTTAAAGATACTAATCTCCCTCCTTCCTGAGAAGTTTTCTGGGATGCTGCTTTGACACTGCAGGGTCATGTGATCATGTCACCTGATACCTTCTTGAAATGCTGTCACGTTTCCATGGGAAGGGAGGTCAAAACTGGGAAACAAAAGATTCCCGCCACATGCAAATCCTGTTTAAGGCTGGGGAGGGAGTTAATCTTGGCTCTTCTCCACTGCCTCCCTGCCCAAGAAGGAAGACTGCTGAAAATGCCTGAAGAAACAAAGGAACTAAGCTGGGGGAGGTAGGGGTTGAGCCCAGGCCAGACAGATCAGCATGTAAAAGGAATCCCTGGAGATTTAAGCTGCAAGCAGTGCAGTTTACCTTCAAGAAACTCTGCAACCTACTTGAAACAATGTTTAGGGTGAGAAATTATTATTTGTAGCTAGTATTTTTTAGTGTATTAAGCTTAGTTTGTGTGTTTTTGTTTTATTTGCTCAGTAAACTGCTTTGTTCTGTTGTTGTCCCTTGTAATCACTTAAAATTTACGTTTCCTAGTTAATGAGTTTTTTGTTTATTCCAAAACCCAGTTTGTGCAGTTCATGACTGGGGGAGGCATAAAGCTGTGCGTATCTTCCTCCATATTGAGGGAGGGGGCAAATTGCATAAGCTTATGCTATATAAATCTCTATAAAGCGCAAGACAATATAATTCTGGGTTACACTCCGGGGGGGTATGCACCAGAGTGCTGGGCAATTCCCTTAGCTGAGTCCTCCCACACACAGCTGATTGCAAACTCTGTGTGATTCTACAGCTGGGTGTGTCCCTACCTGTGTGCATGATGGAAGGGGGCTTGAGAGCCTGTCACAGCAGCATAGAGTAAAGATTATCCAGGCTGGTGGGACAGGTGGGCTCAGTGGGACCCCAGCACATCAGGTGGCACCCTGGACGGCGGGGGCCAACCCATCACAGTAGGTCTCTCTCTTGTATCAGGCTTCATGTCTCTGTACTATACTTTTTTTGAGTAGTTCTTCCCAGGAGAATGGACTTGTGCAGTGGGCCTCACTGGATAGAGAGAAGGTTGCCAAATATCTGGGTGGAACAACTCTGTTTGATCCTGTCTGGCACTGGTGGGAAAGGTCCTTTGTAGCATGGTCCTGGAGTACTGGCAGGTGTGTTGATGGAAAGGTGGCATAATGTTAGTGTGTAAGATGGGTGAGGTCTGTGGGAGATCAGGTGAACACGCATGAAAGAAGCTTTCCACAGCTGTGGATTGTAGAGCTTATGTTGTGAACAAATGGAAAAGTCATAGCATGATGTTGTGTGCATGTGGGTGTGCAGTGCTTTCTACTCGTTTTTAATTAAATTACATATTAAATAATTCTGGAGAAACCTAGGGGCATTCCACAAGTACTTGTCTCCTTTGGCAGGAGGTTGAGAGATGGAAAAGGTGCTGGCTGCTGCCAGGAATTGCTTATTGAAGGAGGAGCTCCAGCTGTGAGATCTGGGTGTCTGACAAGAGAACAACTATTGATACTGGCCTGTAATTTTTCGTACCACAGAGTTTACAATTTGAAGGATCTTGGCAAGGAAAAGGACCAGAAGCTTAACTTTTTTAAATACAGGAAATCTTATTTATGCTTGTCTCTACCAGCCATTTGGTAAACTGTGAAAGGCAGGAGAGGGTGGCAGAGCAGATGAAGGAGGTGGTTTTGCCACTTCCATCTCTTTTGCACAAGAGATTCCCCCTACACAAGGGGAATTCACCATGAGGAATATCCAGCAGGATATGTTCACCTTTTGCTGCATAAAGTGAATGTAGCAGACTGGAAAATCCAGCCCATCGTTTTCTGATGACCCAGCTGATTCTGAGTTATGGTAAATTCACCTCTTATTTTGGGGAAAATTCTCTTCTATCCCCAAACTCCCACATTTTTCTGGAGTTGTAAAAGACTTTTTAGGAGTTTGGGGGCAAAAAGGGAGCAGCTTATTGTGGAAATGTGATTGCGACCTTAACAATGATCTGCTAATGAAAAATTGGGGTTTTGCCCTTTGTGATGTATGAAGCAAGGCTGAAAGGTTTTTCTTTAACTGTAGAAAATCAGGTCTTGTCTGCTCTGTCACTCTATGGAAGAATGGAGAATTTTTGGGAGTATGAGGACGTATATATTATTACATATTAAAAGCTGTTAAAAAAGACTATTTTTTAAGGTTGTAAAGTCAAGCACACAGACGTTAGGAAATTCCAGAATTCAGGTTGCCTGTGCGACATTAATTCAGCCCACTTGTGCATATGCATTATGATACAGTCTTTAATTACATGATCATGTACTATTTTTTCTACAACGACAGGTTTCAGAGTAACAGCTGTGTTAGTCTGTATTCGCAAAAAGAAAAGGAGTACTTGTGGCACCTTAGAGACTAACCAATTTATTTGAGCATGAGCTTTCGTGAGCTACAGCTCACTTCATCGGATGCATACCATGGAAACAGTCTCTAAGGTGCCACAAGTACTCCTTTTATTTTTTCTACAGGACTCCTGGCTCATTCACGGTGTAGAATGGACAGTGCTTACCTAGTGAGCAGCTATTCAATATTTTATTTTTTTCTCATTGTTCAACGTGTGGCCATAGGCCTTATTTACTCCATGCTATTCAAACTCTGCTCTGAAGACTGAATTATTTATTTCTTCGTGTGCTTTTCTTTGGTGTTCATCACAGATATCACACATATCTGAGTGCTTCACAAACATTAATGAATTTATTTTCTCAACACTCTTGAGACAAGCGGGTATTAATATCCCCATTGCACAGCTGGGGAACTGAAATACGGTGAGATTAAGGTAAAAAATATCCAATAATTTTGCCCAGTTGGAGATCCCTAGGACTTGATTTTTTCAGAGTACTTCGAATTACATAGCACTTAGTATGTTCAAAGCACAGCTCCCATTGACTTGAGTTGCAGCTGTGAATGCCCCGCACTTCTGCAAATCAGACCCCAAGAACTCAATTCGGTCACCCAGAACGTGAGGAACACATGCCTTAATAACCACTTATGAAAAGTTTGGTTAAGTGACTTGCTGAGTACCACGCAGGAACTCTGTAACAGAGGCAGAGCTAGAGTCCAGTTCTCAGGGCAGCATCAACTGCCTTAACTATGAGACCATACTGTCTCTTCCTGCAATCTCTTGCCTAATTCACCACACACCTTCCAGGCTTCTGCAACAAATGAAGCAGGGGCCCAACAGACAATAGTCTCCATCACTGTACAGTCCTGCTTCACCCTCAGAGAAGGTCCTTCATGAGAACTGAATCAGGCAGGGATCCTGTGGAACAAACAGTATGTGATCATGTAATTGAAGACTGTATCATAATTCATGTGCACAAGGGGGCTAAATTATGATTGCACAGGCAACTTTAATTCTGACAATTCTTAACTTTTGGGTCCTTGACTTTGTAACTGCCATAAATATTCATAGGTTCGGAAGCCAGAAAGGACCATTGTGATCATCTGGTCACCCTACTGTATACCACAGGCCTTAGAATTTCCCCCCAAAGTAATGCTATTAATTATGTTTTTAATGCAGTTTTTTGTGTGTAACTTTCTAAATTTAAAAAGAACAACTGAAAAACAGAAAATTCATCATGTGGCATATTTACACCCCCATGGGTCTTGAGCAGGTTGGAACCTTTAGATCAACTGCAGAGTTCTGCCACTTGAACTAATGGAGTAATTTATAGCAGTAGTAGGTTATTCTCCTCTGTGTGGACCAGCACTAGAGGAGGATGGGGTACTTTGCCAGTGGATTTCACAGATATTTGCTGACAGCAGAGGAATGGTCCCAGTTTTTGCTTCCAGTCACAGACTTCTTGCCGAGCAGTTCCTAGTTACCTTAATTGTACACCCCAGCTCCTTGTCCCCAAGCAGGTTTCCATTTCTCCATCTCCTGGCTCTTCATCTGATCTGTCTCACTGACCCCTCTCCCCCATGCACATTCCCTGTATCCACTGGCTCCCAGTCCCAGTTTTCCTCCCCAGCTCCTTGTCCAATCTCAGTATCACCTTTCCCCTGACTTCTTGTCCAGCCAGTTCCTCCTCCAGTCTGTCTCCCTCCCCCCAACTTCTGTCTCCCCATTCCTTTCCTCATTGGCTCCTAATCCTAGTCTCCTTCTGGTCCCCACATCTGAACTCTCAGTCCCAGTTTCCATTTCCCCTCCTACCATGCTCCAGTCTGTTTCCACCCACATCAAGGCTCCTAGTCCCAATTTACTTCCCCCCACACCCTTCCCCCGAAAGTCTGTCCTGTATCCCCCGTGCATTTAAATCAAGCAGCTTCCTCCTCCATGCTGCCTGTGGCCAGCAGGAGGGTCATTGAAATCCCAGGAGAGACAGGCTCCCTGCTCAGTTCTGGTGCTCAGACATGGACCCAGCCTCTGGCAGTCTAGAGCTGCAATTACGGGGAAGGGTCCTGCTCAGCCTAGGCTCATGCATGCCCTGTGTGGATGAAATCGTCAGGGAATTTAGCTACTAAAATTTAAGAAGTCTTTGTGGAGTATGTGCGAACTATGGGTTGGGGTGGGTTTGTTTTTGTTTTTTTTCAGAGGCTTATAGTATAGCCAGCTTTGGGCAGATTTTCACAAGAATGACAAAAGGCACATCCCTTCCAAATTGCAAGTTCCTGCTCCAAAGCGTGCGGGCACTAGAGTTGTTCAAAGAAAAGTTCACCAGGTATTTTTTAACATGGGCAAAACAACATATTTTCTCTAGCCTTGTTCTTGGAAATTACTGAAATTGGTTGAACTTATTCAAAATTTATTCTACATTCAGCCTGAGGCAAACGCCCAGCATGGAAAAATTCAGCCCAAATGGTTATAGCTTGGCAAAATTATAAGCAACTGAAAACAGGGTCTTATAAAGGAAACTGTCAGGTAATCTTCATAATGGGCAGGGCTACAAGCCTTGGCTGTAAAACAATTGCAACTTAATGCATTGTGAAGGAAGAGGATTTTTAGATACATTGTTTAAAACTCTGTGATTTTTGTTATGCCTTTTTAACTCAAATGCCTAAGAAAAAGACAAGACAAAAATTGGCATTCCTGATACTTCTAAAGTTAAAAAAACAACCAAGGTTAAAACAAAAAGGGTGGAGGTTCTTTTAGCCCTTCTTTATACACCATTAAAAAGCAAAAAAAAGGGCACAAAACCAATCCCTCCATTCTCTTGCTTCAGGTCACATTAAGGTGCCACAAGTACTCCTTACCTTTAACCATGTCTCCATAATTACAAGACAATTTAAAGTCGTACCAAACAGCTCCTCCTTACTAATGTTTTGAGCCAGACTCCATGTGAGGCTCTCTCGGTTCCAGAGCATCCTGGTCTGTGAATCCTGTATAGGTGAGGTTAGGAAAATATCTTATGATTAAGGAATGTCTTGTCTTTACTCTCTATTTAGGCATAATATTAGTGCATGATTTAACGAACAAGAAGTCCTCCCAAAACTTGTATCGATGGTCATTGGAAGCACTTAACCGAGATGTGGCTCCAACTGGAGTGCTGGTGACAAATGGGTGAGTGTACAACATGCACACAGCATCAGACACATGACTCCAGCTGTCACATTTACTCTTCATCACTTATCACTAGGGCCACTTGAAATCCACGGGAAGTTTGACCAAGTGCAGAATTCTCAGGCTAGGGTGTACTTGGGATGGCTGAGAAGAGCTATGTAACTGTGGAAGAGAAATGGTACCGCTATTCCATCTCCAGATCCACTGTTGCTAGATCCTTGGGTTTTCTGGGAGTAGCGTGGAGTCAGGGGAGCATGTCTCTGTATTGCTCCTTCCATATTTGTTAAGGCTTATGTGGGAACAGGTACATTTCCTGCTACCTCAAAGTTTTCCATGGCTGCTTTGTGGCATTCAGGGCCATCTAGCAGGAATCCTCATGAAAATGTGGCTGTTTCCATGTCCTACCTTGATTTTTTTTGTGTGAGGAGTAATGAAACTCACTAAATCTTGCAGATTTCTTTAGTGGGATTTTTTGGGGCCTTGCTAAAGAATATGTTTTCAGCAGTGCTGTGCCATCTAACTGTTGCTGTTTTCCCCTGTTACTTGTTACAGGTATAAGGGGAAAGATTTTCAAACCGGAAAAATCACACAGATGAGAGTGAGAAATGGAATGGGGGTGAGGGCGGGCAGAACCCCAATTATATGCACACCACAGACAGATACACATCTGCTATTTTAAAAACACAGGGTGGAGGCTTGTCCTCCAAAATCCACATTCTGTGTGGCTGTAAAGAAGAAGGCTCTCTCACCAGTTTATGTGGTGGGACAGAGAAAAGGCCTGTGAAGCCAGTTGAAACAAATTAATGGAAAGTTTCAAAGCTATGGCAGGAGAGTTTTGAATTGGTCCTGAAATGAATAGGGAGTCAGGTTAGTTCTCTAATGATGGGAGTGATATGGTATCATTCCTTTGTTTGTGTGAACATAAGAATGGCCATACTGGATAAAATCAATGATCCATCTAGCCCTGCATTGTGTCTTCCGATACTGTGGGATTGTGGGCAGCAGCATTCTGCATCGCATCCACCTTTACCCTCCCTTTGTTTCCTTTTCTCTCTGATTTGTAACATGGTCACATCAGCCTGCTAGCTACTTCTGCCTTTTCCTTTCCCACACTGGAGCCCTGACCCAACCCAGCTGCTGGTTCCTTTCTTCTCCTCTCCCTTTCAAACATACAGTGTGACTCAACCAGCCTCTCAGCTGCCATTTCCTTCCTGCTCTTCTCCAGCTCATGCATTGTGATCCAGCTCATCTCTTAGCTGCTGCTGCTTCCCACCCTGTCCTCTTCAGACAAAAGCCTCAGCCCATGTCTCAGGTGCTAGTTACTAGTTCCATATCTGTTTCCACTCTAAATCTCCCAACAGGCAGTGTGATTTAACTGCAGAAACCCTCCCACAAGACCCAGACATAAACACTCTTGGCCGTCAGAACACAGTATCCAACAATCTCCCACCCACCTAGAGTGGAAAGGATAGGGCTGTCACATTCATCTATATTTGTATTATTCTGTTTTTCACTGCACAGGGACTATGACCGTGAACAGTTTGCGGATAACCAGATTCCGCTGCTGGTTATCGGAACCAAATTGGACCAGATCCCAGAGACTAAGCGCAATGAAGTTTTGACCAGAACAGCTTTCCTGGCTGAGGATTTCAATGCAGAAGAGATTAATCTGGTTAGTATTTTTGCCAGAAGTTTTGTTTATCTTTGACTGTGCATGATGCTTTCCAGCAAAGAGAACTGTGCAATCCCAATTACAGGAACTAGGCTACTGGTGATTGCCTGGTCAGTCACACTGAGGTCGCTTACAGTGTTGGTTAGCCATACGCCTTGCTAGCATAGTGGAGAAATAGTAGCTGTCTTTCAGTTATAGAAAGGAGCTGGTTGTGGGAAGTCAACAGGATGGCCTAGGGGTTAGGGGATTGGGAGTCACTTGGTTCTGCCACTCACTTTTCTTGTGAGCACATACAGACTACACCCATTTATATTTATACCATTGCCTGGGCAAAATCGGTGGCTGGATGTATAATGGTTGGCTGAAGTTAAATCTGGGGAATGCAGATATAGTATTGAAGTTTTCAGCCTGCTTCTCTGCTTTGGAATTGGACTTCCCTCTTAATGCTTTGAGATGAGTCTTTAGTTCAGAATTGAGACACGTCAGCAGGACATTATGGGGAAAGCTTCCTCTTCTTTATCTTTTGTGGGAACAGAGGGTTTCAGTCTCCAGGGCTATAAAACCAACACCTTACCTTAGCACCTAGCTCAATTAAAAAAAAATTGTCAGCACTTTTTTAATAGGCAAGTGTCAAATTCTAGTTCATGTTTACAAAGCTGATGCTTCAGGACTCTACAAGAAATTCCTGGCTGATTTATTTATTTGTGGGGAGAAGTGACTCAGTTTCCCAACTCCATCAGTGGCTGAATCATTTGTCTTGTATTTAGCACTGAGGACCTACTCCTCTAACATGGATTAGAAAACTGCTCTGATGTATTTGCTTCCTGGCGCCTCTCGGGTTTTGAAGAGGATAACATCCAGAGTGACTTCCTTTGTTGGTAAACTTTATGGTGTGAGGCACTCCAGTTGTAGTGGTACAAACAGGGAATCTGGATTTCTGTCTCACCAGTCACATTGATGATTTCTGCATTTTAATGTGAGGAAAAATCATTAGTTGGTCTGAGAATTATCTGTTCCCATTATCATTAAATTGTTTCTTCTGGAAGTTGCAGCCAGTGCCAGGAAAGAGTCTTTCCCATAGACTTCCTCAACAAGAAGGCTTCCTTGTTTCTAATGATTACTAGGCACCCTTGTTACTTTCGTAGTATTCTTACAATGCTGCAGTTGTTGTGAATTATGAGCTGATTGGTTCCTCAGCACAACATCCTGGGAGCTACCTTAGCCACATCATTCTGCATAGCTTGTAGCCAAATGGTTCACAGCCTACTCGGGCCACTTCAGACTATGACATCAACTGTGCCCACAACCACCCATTCCATTGTGTGTATTTCAGCCTGCAAAGGAGCTTGAGCTTCCCTAAACCCTAGAACAAGGAGTCCATGTTTTGTTATAGGAGTACATGTAGTCAAATGGGAAGTGGGTAACAGTAGTGCTCTGAGGCCTAGCATAGCAACTCAACATAAAGGGAGGAAGGAGAGACTAGAGTGCCAGGAGTTAGAGCTTGATGCCCCAGTGCTAGTGGTTGGGAATGACTGCTGTGGAGGGCACCTCTTGCTGTACTACTGATAGACCCCCCGGTTTCTGTTCTTGTGCCTTTAAAAAATGTTAGGCTGGTGCTTGTTATAAACAGCTTAGTTTAGATTTTGCATTTGAAAGTGGGTCTTCTAAAGTTCCCTTTAACATAGAGTTTTGGGAGTGGGGTGAAGCCACCTCTTGTTAGTAGAACCCTATTTAAAAGAGTGAAACTTTTATTTTTTTTAACATTTCCCAATCCGTTTTGTCCTCTTCCATTTGGAAGTCACTGATATCTTCCCGGCCCCCCACGTCCTTCCAAATGGCTTTGGAACAGAAGTCAGTATGGGTTTGCCATGTTTGCTTCAGTGGTCATGTCTGCATGTTTTTGGGAAGGGGGCTTGTTGATTTCCTTGTATTCCCTCTGCTGGTTGACTAATTGCAGCAAAACCAAATATTTCAGCTGTTGTGGCTTGGTTTTCACCCATTTATGTCTTATTAGGTAATCCGTTCTTAAAGTGACACCAATATGGCCTGTCATTGCATGTCCTTGCATTCTATAAAAATCAAGCACCTTGAGAAAACATTTTGTTTAAGATGAAAAGTTGTGCTGAGTACCTGGTTATTTTCAGTAGCTTTCTTGCTCCTTAAAGAATGTTGCATAACATGGTTCCTAATTATGAGTTGCTTTTTGTGTGTTCCAGGACTGCACCAATCCCCGCTATCTGGCTGCAGGCTCATCCAATGCTGTCAAGCTCAGCAGGTTTTTTGATAAGGTGATGCAAATTCAATTACGTTTGTTGTTTTTGTTTTATGTAATTAACCCTGTCTGTATTCTGAGAGCTAACGGCATAGTTGGGCTCCTGCTCTCACTTGCCACTTCTTGAGAGCTGGGTTCAAATCCTGTGTGGAATTGCAAGTGAAAATGGCTTTGGGTAGTTCTCAGACTAATCTCCCTTAAATTATTATTATGACTGTTATTTACTATTTGTATTACAATAGCACTTTGGAGCCCTATCATGGACCAGGGCTAGGTGTTGTGCTAGTTGCTATACATACACATTACTCCTAGGGGAATTCTGCACCACTGTGCAATGCAGAATTTTGCAGAAATTGTTTTTTGCACAGATTTTCCTTTCACCCACAGAAATGGGCTGCGGTGCTGCTGGCCGCCACTAGGGGCTGCTGGACTTGGCAGAACCCATCTTGCACATAGAAAACACAGAGGGGGAGAGTAGAGAGTTCTTAGCAGCTGCAGTTCCCCACATGCCCTGAGGGAAGGAGATGGCAGCGTGCAGGAAACTCCACACAAACCTGGGACTGAGCATCAGGCTGTTTCTCCCTCTGGGCTCTGCGGGGGGGAGGAGGGTAGGGGGGGAGGAGGGTAGGTGCCTGGGCTGGGGCGAGCCGTGCCTGGGCTGGGGTGAGCCATGGCTGGGCTCTGTGGGGGAGGGATTGTGGGTGTCTGGCCCCCTGGCTGGGCTCTGCGGGGGAGGGAGCAGAGAAATAGGAAGTGAGTTATCATAGGGATTTCTTTAACACTATACTTTTGGGGGATTTTTTGTGTGTGTCTATATTGTTACAGACATACTTGGTGACGCTATTTTGAAATAAATTACCAAAATAATTGAAACTGGCATGATTATATAGTGTTATTTTGACAAATAAAATTTGCAGAATTTTAAAATATTGTGTGTAGAATTTTTAATTTTTTGGTGCAGAATTTTTATTTTTTTTGGCACAGAATTCCACCAGGAGTAACATATAACAGACAGTCCCTGCCCTGAAAAGCTTTTCAATCTAATACTGGTCTGCATTACAGACTTGCCAAAGAGTTTGTTAGTTTAACTTAACTAAGTCACGTTTTAGATGAGACTGAAGACTCTGACAGCAGAGATTGTGTAAATCATGGAGTTTTGTTGTCTGAGTTATATGGGGAGCCCAGAACATGAAAAAATAAAGTGGTGAATGGGAAATGTTCTGTCGGTCCCTACTGCACTATGCCTGACTCCTAGCTAGTTCTATCCCGCTAATCATTCCCACTTCTTGAAATTCACCCATGGGAACAGAATGGGTATGGGGGCTGGAGTCTGGATTTGATGTCTGATTTTGGCCTTTTGCTCCTTGAGCCAGGAGCACTGCAGAAGCAGCAAAAATTGGGAGAGTGGTAAATAACACAGAAAGTGGGTCACTGATACATCATGATCTGGATGGCTTGGTAAGTTGGGTGCCAGCAAACAATATGCATTTTAAGAGGGCTAAATGTATATATTTAGGAACAAAGAATACAGGCCACCTAAATTCCCTCTAAGCTGCACGGTTGCACAGCAGGCTATCAAGGGCCATGCCGGCGCGCAGCCACAAGGGCCTAGACTGGAGAGGGGAGAGGCGCCCCAGCCCTGGAGCTGCCACGGCCAGGGAGAGGTGCCTCTCCCCCGGCCCCAGCACTGGGGCAGCCTGCACCCCAAACCCCTCATCTCCAGGCTCACCCCAGAATGCACACCCCCAGCCAGAGCTCTCACCCTCCTGCACCGTAACCCTCTGCCCTAGCCCTGAGCCCCCTCCCAAATCCCTCATTCCTGGCCCCACCCCAGAACCCTCACCCCCCTGTAACCCAACCCTCTGCCCCAGCCCTGAGCCCCCTCCCACACACTGAACCACTCGGCCCCACTCCTGCCACACATCACCTCCATATTGGTGCACATCAAATTTATTCCGCACGTGGATGTAAAACGTTAGAGGGAACATTGCAGGCCATAATTACAGGAGGGGGGACTCTGTTCTGAGAAGCAGTGACTCTGAAAAAGATTTGGGGTCATGGTGGATAAAGAGCTGAACACGAGCTCCCAGTGCAACGTTGTGGCCAAATCCTTGGGTGCATAAGCAGGAATCTCAAGATTGAATAGAGAGATTATTTTTCTCTGGTTTCAGAGTAGCAGCCATGTTAGTCTGTATCCTCAAAAAGAAAAGGAGTACTTGTGGCACCTTAGAGACGAACAAATTTATTTGAGCATAAGCTTTCGTGAGCTACAGCTCACTTCATCGGATGCATTCAGTGCAAAATACAGTGGGGAGATTTATATACACAGAGAACATGAAACAATGGGTGTCACCATACACATGGTAACAAGAGTGATCAGGTAAGGTGAGCTATTACCAGCAGGAGAGCCTGGGATGGGGGTGGGGAACTTTTGTAGTGATAATCAAGGTTGTTGACAAGCACTACATTGATGACATCTTCATCATCTGGAATGTAGTGCAAGTAGAGTAGGGGCATTAGGGAACGAGAGCTGAGGACAGGCCCAACAAAGAAAATAACAGAACACCACTAGCCATCACCTTCAGCCCCCAACTAAAACCTCTCCAACGCATCATCAAGGATCTACAACCTATCCTGAAGGACAACCCATCACTCTCACAGATCTTGGGAGACAGGCCAGTCCTTGCTTACAGACAGCCCCCCAACCTGAAGCAAATACTCACCAGCAACCACACAACAGAACCACTAACCCAGGAACCTATCCTTGCAACAAAGCCCATTGCCAACTGTGTCCACATATCTATTCAGGGGACACCATAATAGGGCCTAATCACATCAGCCACACTGTCAGAGGCTCGTTCACCTGCACATCTACCAATGTGGTATATGCCATCATGTGTCAGCAATGCCCCTCTGCCATGTACATTGGCCAAACTGGACAGTCTCTACGTAAAAGAATAAATGGACACAAATCAGATGTCAAGAACTATAACATTCAAAAGCCAGTCAGAGAACACTTCAGTCTCCTTTGGTCACTCGATTACAGACCTAAAAGTGGCAATTCTTCAACAAAAAAACTTCAAAAACAGACTCCAACGAGAGACTGCTGAATTGGAATTAATTTGCAAACTGGATACAATTAACATAGGCTTGAATAAAGACTGGGAGTGGATGGGTCATTACACAAAGTAAAACTATTTCCCCATGTTTATCCCCCCCCCCCCCCCCGCTGTTCCTCAGTTGTTCTTGTCAACTGCTGGAAATGGCCCACCTTGATTATCACTACAAAAGTTCCCCACCCCCGGCTCTCCTGCTGGTAGTAGCTCACCTTACCTGATCACTCTCATTACAGTGTGTATGGTAACACCCATTGTTTCATGTTCTCTGTGTATATAAATCTCCCCACTGTATTTTCCACTGAATGCATCCGATGAAGTGAGCTGTAGCTCATGAAAGCTTATGCTCAAATAAATTTTAGTCTCTAAGGTGCCACAAGTACTCCTTTTCTTTTTATTTTATCTCTGAATTTCGCTCTGGTGCAACCACTGCTGGAATACTGGGTCCTGTTTTGGTATCCACAATCAAAGAAGGATGGAGAGAGTTCAGAGAGATAGAAGAATGATTAAAGGATTAGAAAACATGTCTTGCATTAATAGACACAAGGAGCTTGATTTAGTTAGCTTAACAAAGAGAAGGTTAAGGGGTGACTTGATTACAGTCTATAAGTGCATGGGGAGCAAATGTTTAATAATGGTCTCCTCAGTCTAGCAGAGAAAGGTATAACAATCCACTGGCTGGAAGTTGCAGGTAGGCACATTCAGACAGGAAATAAAATATAAATATAACAGTAAAGGTAATTAACCATTGGAACAGCTTATCAAGGGTCATGGTAGATTTTTCATTGCTGACCATTTTAAAACCAAAATTGTATGTTTTTCTAAAAGATCTGCTCTAGGAAGTATTTGTAGAGGAAGTTCTATGGCTGTACAGGAGGTCAGATGAGGTTTCTGAATTGACACCCTGATTCGACTTATGGCATTGGTTTAGACTTTAAGACGCTCGGTCCTGTAATGGAGTGGATTGCGGTTCCGAGTTACAACGTTTTGCATTACAACACAATTTTCAGGAACCAACTGTGTCATAAGTCCAAGGACTGCCTGTATATCAGGGCAATACAGGGGACCTCCATCAAGGACGTAGAAACACTCTTTCTCTTGGAAGAGAGAGTGATGAATAAATGGGATAAGTGTCTGTAACCCCTTTTTTAAACCAGTTAGATTGGGGTAAAACCTAGCATCATATACCGTGTACATGTGGTTTGCTGTCACTGAAACTCCTCTCACTTCTGGGTGAGACTTTGCCCCAGCTTGCTGGCTCATGACTTTTTGGATTTCATATCATCATCTTCAGCCTCCTGTGACTTTTCCCCAGCCTTAATGTTCATCTCTGTCTTTTTCCTCATTCATTTACTTTGCAATTGATGTCTTGAGATTTGATTACATCTGGGATTGTAATTCTGTCATCTCTAGGTGGGGGAGGGGACTGGGTAGCTATTCTTCAGTGTTGGAGATTTCCTGAGAACAGTTATTCTGTGTGAAACATTGTTCTAAGCAGATACCATGGTCAATGAAACTGGACTAAAATTTAAAGTGTTGTAGTACACTAGCAAATATCCATTGTCCCTGTGCAGGCTGGTGGGTTTGCAGTGCACTTTTCTAGCACTGAAGTGAGTGCTAAATGTAGATGCCCACCATTGCTTTTCCTGTTTAAAACAAATCTGGGGGAATAAAACTTAGTGCTGCTTTATTTCCCACCCATCTTCCCCAGAGAAAAAACGTCAGGGTAAATCTGGAAAATAGCCAAATTGGAAGTGGGAATGCTTTGGTCAAGCCACTTAGTGGTCCCCTGGGAGGGGATGGAGATGGCATTGGCGACCCAGGGGATCACCTTCTCGTACAAACACCAGAATTTGGCCAGGATTTTTTTTTTTTTTTTTTAGGAAAGGAGGGGATAGGGATTTGCAGTAGAGCAATATCAGCTGCTCCCTCTTGCCCCTTATAGTGAGGGCACTGCTTCCACGGCATCCTCCAGCACAGGCAGTCTGTAGTCAGAATTTGTCATTTGAGAATGTAGTATCCCAATTGTTGATGTCTTTAAAGTGTTAATCACATTATGATGGTATGTACATGCCACACCTTCTAAATTCTTTCTCTGATTGCATCCCCCAGGTCATAGAGAAGAGATACTTGTTACGAGACGGTAATCAGGTCTGTGTTTTTTTCTGTGGTTTTTTTTGTTTGTTTGTTTTTTTGGGTACAATGCTACCTGTGGGTTTTGTTGGCTGACAAGGCCCTGACCTTTAAAATATGAGCTCCTGGTTGCCCAAACATAGGAGATTGTGGTTCAAATGCAAGTGATGATCGGTAGTTGGATGCATGGGAAAGATGGTGCCAATTTTTACAAGTTTCACCCACAATCTGGATGTTTTGGCTATAAAATGATAAGCAGTGAAATAATTAACAATATTGACATTTAAATTGCCACCCCTGGAATCCGATGGAATTGAGATGAAAGGGGGCTCAGTTAGCAAATCCCTCAGAGCTGTTGTTTCAGGCTGTTTTCTGTGGAATCACATGGCACCATTTTGAATCGCAGTCAACAAGTTTCCTTCACAACCAGGGCTAACGATGTACATTTTTAATGATAGTTCCACCAGCTGCGGCAGAAATTATCAGAGAAGTGCCAGGATGGTACCAACTTAGTTGGACCGTGAATGCTTAACTAATAAAAAAAAGTTTTGGAAGCACTAAGTAGAATCTGGGACCTGGACTCTCCCACCTAGGACAAGTCACTTCATCCCTCTATGCCTGACAGTGTTTACATCTGTAACATGAAGGGGAATAATAATACCTGGCTCTTAGATAGCACTTTCTATCAGTTGATGGCAAAGCCCTTTACAAGGCAGGGTAGTATCATTATCCCCATTTTACAGCTGGGAAGACCGAAGCACCTATGAGAGTGACTTGTCACCTACTAGGCTAGTGTTGAGCTGGGAATACAATCCAGGACAGACCTACCTCAGAGAAGTGTAGCATAGGCGCTGAGTTTCTAATCTCACTGGCTCCACCCAGGCCCTGCCCCACTCCACCCCTTCCTGCAATGCCCCACCTCCGGCCTGCTTCTTTCTGCCCCGCTTCTGCCCCGCCCAGTTCCGCCTCCTCCCACAAGCGCACTGCGCCCTCACTCACCCTCCCCCCCCCAGCGCCTCCTGATGCCACAAAACAGCTGATCCGCGGTAGGCGCTGGGAGGAAGAGGGAGACGATGAGTGGGACCCGCCAGCAGGAAGGAGGCTCTGAAGGGTTGTGCGGGAGCTGATGGTGGGTACTGAGAACCCCCCATATTTTTCCTGTGGGTGCTCCAGCCCCAGAGCACCCACGGAGTTGGCACCTATGAAGTATAGTGAGGTTTAATTCGTTCATGTTAGTAACAAATGTCATAGAAAAACATGTATATTAAAAAACTATACTGTGCTGTGCTCCCTTCCTTTTAGGGAGGGAGAAAAAGTGAAAATGAAAGCCGGAAGTGTATTATTTTAATTTTTCATGAGAATTTTTTAAAGCAAATCTGTTTTCTCCTATTTCAATCCTGGAAGGCTTTTTTCCTCTGGTAAAAGAGAATCTCTGTTCCATGAAGATAATAGCTTAATGCAGGAGCCTGGTTTTGTTTGTTTGTTTTAAAGCCATGATGCAAGATTACATTATTGTGTATGATAGGTTTTAGTGGCTAACCAAGGATTAACTTTCTATTCTTTATGGCCAAGGGCCAAAGATTACAGTCCACTGCCAACTACTCTGACCTGCTCCCTCGATGACAGTGCAGAAGCTTAAACAAGTCAGCATACATATTGTAGAGAAACAAACCCAACAAGGACTTAGGAGCTTCGCTACACCCCCAAGTGTTACTGTTTGAAATTATCTGCTCCTTGTGCATATAATGGGCTTCATGGTATTCTGCAGTGAGATCTGCTCTTCCCACTCCTGTTTTTGTGGAGTTTACATGGTAAAACTCTCCTAAGCATGGATGGAAGAATAGACACTAAACTCATTTTGTGGGGGTTTTTTAAATCATGCCTCAGCATACGCATCTTGTCTTTAGCTTGCAGCCATAGCGTCAGTCAGATCTCAGAATGTGGTCAGACCAACCCAGCGTTGATGGGGAAACCTCCACAGAACACAGAGAATGCTCTAGGGAATGTGCTGTTGAATCTGGTTGTTGCAGTCTGCCTTCCGAGTCAACACCCTAGTATAGTGCTGGGATGCTGTGCTATCTTTTGGTTGAGATATAATAACCACAAGTGAGGTAGACCTCAGTTTTAAGGATCCCATAGCACTTTTGACAAAAGTTTGATTGGTAGCCCTGGTGTGCTGCTACATTTGAACTCTAATAATTACATTTTGCCTCTATAGCTTCCCATTGCAGTTTCAATTGGATATGCTATTCTTAACTGTTGTATAGAGTTGCCTAGTTTCCCTCCAGAGCTGACTGCATTTTAGTGATTCCTATGTATCCACTTTGTCTATCATTGTAAGTTTGTGAAGCACTTTGAGCTGAAAGGCCCAAGTCCTACAGTTCTCCGCTGAGTTGACATTTCTGCTAAGATCTGTGGCTTTCTCAGGGCTTGTCTACACTTGAATGCTTCAGTGGCACAGCTGCACTGTTACAGCTGTGTGGCAGTAGCACTTCAGTGAAGATGCTATCTGTGTCGACAGGAGAAGTTCTTCCATTGGCATAGATAATCCATCTCCCCAAGAAGCAGTAGCTCAGTCAATGGGACAGTTCTACTGTCAACTTAGTGCTGTCTACGCTAGGGGGTTAGGTCGCTTTAACTGTGTCACTCAGGAATGTGGATTTTTCACACCCCCGAGCAACATAATTGTACTGACCTAATTTCCTAGTGTAGACCAGGCTTCAGTCTACCATTGTAGGGTATAACCCCAGCAGGCTGTTTTACTGTGAAGTCTAAACTACCTTGTCCCCCACCCCCTGTTTCCAGATGTACTGCTTTTGGCCAGTTCTGATATTTTTCTTGATTGGGCATCACCATATATTTTGATGCTGCTTTTATACAGTAGGTTGACTGTCCGGGGTTGTTGTGACAGAGCAGTGAGAAAGGTAGCATGTCCTGTTGAGTGAGTACCTCAGCTCTGCCCATGTGTAGACAGAGGGGTGAGGTGACTCCTAAACCATAATCTCGTGGATAGCTACAGGAGATGCTGCCACGAGGGGAGCTACGTAGTACAGGATTAAAGAACCATGGACCGCTTTCTGTTGTGGGATGGTGTGTTCGTAGGCACTCTGCAGTGCAAATCTGTTTGAAATCCCATTAAGCAAGGAAGCGTGGGGTGGTTTTGAATAGACTTTCTTTGTAAGCACTGATTCTCACAGGGTAAGCACTATGTGCACAAGTACTGTCTGCACATATGCCGCCGAAAAATGAGTGCCGATATCTTACTGCAGCTTTTTTCATTCTGATGGATTTCACAGAGCTTCACAACTTGATAAAGGCTGTTAGGTCAATTACTGCAAAACTGCAGCCATCTCTGGGGTAGAACACAGCAGCTGTTTAGTAAAGCACAGTAATGGTGTACAACAGTTTAGAAAAGGAAACAAAGACTCCTGTATACAATTGAAATTGCAGAGGGATTTAGTGAGGAACAATGTAATAAACCAAGTTGGAATTTGGCCAGGACAATAGTGCTCACACTGCAAGTCTTACATAAAACCCCAAAAGATCTATAAGGCAAATGGTCAGGATCTCACTTTTACATTTCATTCAAAAGATGGCACATCTTAGAAGCATGCTGAAGCACTTGGTCTGCCCTAACTCAGAAGGAAGAGTGTGATGGGAAGGAGGTAATGTTGTCAATTTGGTAACATACATGTTAATGTGGCCTGGAAGGAATCCTTGCTGGTTCTGACATGGTGACATCTTCCATATCTACAGATTCCTGGCTTTTCTGATAGAAAAAGATTTGGAGGTGGTGCACTGAAGAGCCTTCATTATGACTGAACACTGCTCAGTGTCCAGAGACTGAATGGAAGATGAGTTCTCTCCGTTTGCAGCAACATTCCTGTCCCTGTTGGACTCTTAAAGGCAACGATCATCATGCCAGGCAAAATACATTTTATTAATTGCTTTGGCCACCCAGGACTATGGAAGCTACCAGTGCTGATGAAGGCACAGGGAAGAATCCCCAAAACCAGTTTTGGGGTTCAAACTCTCTCCTAGGTTTAGGAACCTTGTGGAAATACTGGATCTTTTTGAATTGAGGCAATAAATTCAGTGTTTCCCATGCTGCTGTGGGAAACATCATCATGCACAGCATGTATGTGTAACTTTTGCCCCCCATCTTGGAACATTTATGAACACTCTTCAATGAATTATACTAATTTTACCTCTAGCAGAAAGGGAATACTAAACAGTTTTCTCATTTACACTAACATAAAGCAAAACAAGCAAGCAAACTATAAGACTATATAAGAAATAGGATGGAAAACAGTAGAAAGCCATCATATAAATCAGTGGTACAGCCTCAGCTGGAACTCTCAGTTCTGCGTCACCCCATCTCAAAAGGGCCATAACAGAAATAGAGGTTGTTCAGAGGTAGGTGCTGAAAATGATTAGACGCCTGAAAAACAATTCCCCATGAAGAGAGAGTGGTGTTTATATTGCTGTTTAGTTTGGTATTTGTAGTTTGGTGAGTACAGAGAAAGTAGATCAGATACTCCAAGAAACTTAAAATTCATGAAGGGAAGGTATGTTTTTACAATGTGCATGTGGGACTCAATCTGACAATCTATGTTTGAAACCATAAGCTTAGTGGATAAGACCAAAATATAAATCATAAAAACATCCACAGTTAGAATAGAGTGGGTAGAAAATTATAAGAGATATAAACCCATATGCTTAAATGTTGGACCTAACCATGAAGTTCTGGGGGTTAGAAAGAAAATTCTCTTATGGGAAAGTAATTCCTCTGAAGCATCTGGTATTGGCCATTGCTGGAGATAAGATACTAGACAAAATGAACCACTCGTCTGACCTCTTACAGCAATTTCTGTACTCTTAAATATAATGTTTTTTGTATCGGGGAGAAAGAAAAAGTGTTTGAGGTAATTAAATGGGCATCCCAAAGCTCTAGTATTAACTGCTTTCCTTTCCCCTCTCTCACAGTGGATTCTCACGGTAACCTTATAATGGTTTAGCCTGGGCTAGAGGCTGACTAAGAGCTAGTGTTAATATAAATACAAATTAATAATAAATGAGGGTAGAAGAAAGTAAAGCATTGGTGTGAAATTGACAGTAGGCTGAGTTCTGCGGATTCCACATTACATCTGCATGCAGCTCTTCTCTGGCTGTTGATTGGGAGTAATTGAATGCTGCCTATTGGTCACAAAGCAGGAATGACAGATAGGATCACCAAACCTAACTTATGAAAAGTAAAAATACGAACACTTCTTACTTTCCCTCTCTCCAGCACCTTTCACCAAAGAGATTCAAGAACATTTTACAAACCTGAATGAACTAAGTCACCGATCATCTGGGTGAGGTACAGTGAGAATCAATATCCCTATTTTACAGCCAGGGAAACGGGTACAAAGACATTGAGACTAAAGTTTTCAACATCTTCCAGTTTTGGGTGCCCTATTAGAGGTAGCTGCAGAAGTGCCATCGGGGCACCTTTGAAAATGAGAATCTGAGTGATTTTTCCCAAGGTCACACTACAGGGTCAGGAATAGACTCCATGAATCCTAATTTACAGGCTTGAGCTTTTAACCGTGAGACTGTTGTCTTTTAAAATAGATCACTGAAGTCCCTGAATTAGTTGTGGTATGTTCAGTAAAACCATAGGTTTGATTATGAATAGAGCACACAATAGATTCCAAATTTAGCCTCTCAGTATCTTATTTAAGAGTGACAAGATGGGAGTCACTAAGCAAGAGCTTCGTGCACTGCTGATTTATCAGCCGCTTTCTCAGCAGGGATGGCTCAGCAGTTTGACCTCTGTTCCCAGGGGTTGTGGCTCCTTTCCAGTTGATAATGGAAATTAGTGGTCTGATTGGGAGTGGCAAACTTCATGCATCTATTCCTTATGTATAATCAAGTTGCAGGGGCAATTTAGGGAAGGAGTATGATTGAGTGGTTAGAGCATGAGACTCAAAGTCAGGAATTTTAGGTTCTATTCTCACCTCCCTTGAAAGCCTTAAGCAAGTCACATTACCTCTCTGTCTCTGTTTCCTCACCTTTAAAATGGTGGTAGTTCTTCACAAGATGATCTGAGGATTATTTAGGCTGAAATGCTCCCCATTTCTTCTGTGAGCAGAAAGGAGCACAAACCTGTAGAAAGGGGCAAGCAGGTTATTGATTCTCCTGCTCTGTGCCTTACTTTCTCTCTCACCCTGTGGAAGTCCCTCTGCAGCAACTGGGATCCACAGTGTTGTGGGCTGGAGGGAGCCGCTTCCTGTTGCATCTGATAGCAGATAAATTACTGTTGCAAGAAGTAGTAACAAGTTCTGCCTGCAACCAGGGCTCAGATTGGGGGGAAAACAAGTTATGGAACTCTCTGAAGTTCTGTCCACCGCCAAAGGGCTGCCTGCTCATCACATCAAAACAAGACAATCCCAGATTACAAATTATCAAACTGTGATCATCCTTTCTGTTGTGTTCTGGTAAACAGTTAACTAGGTTTAGTTATTTTTAGGCTTTGATGTCAGCAGCCAGTTGAGATACATGGGAGTTGTTTACACCTCTCAGCCTGAAACATCAGGTCTATCTGCAGATTAAGGCAGCTATCACTATGCCCATTAATAATAATAATATTGAGCAATATTGAGCTGCAATCTGCTCTAGGTGTAGACTTCTAGATCTCAATCAGTTGCCAAAACATCCCTCAGGTACATTCTGATTAGTGCTCAACCCATCATTTCTGATGATCTTTCTCCACTGATAAGAATGCGTCAGAGTTTACCAGCGTCAGAGTTTACCAGCAGAACACCCTGAATAGTTCTTCTGCAAACAAAGGAAGCTTTGCTTTTCTGCTATTTTTTCTCCTCACTAAGTCGCTATTATTTGGCTTTCCCCGACAGAAGTCATGCTTCTGTCTGGCTCCCCTTGTTAAGATGCTGGTGACTTTGATTCCCTTTCAGCATAGAGTGTTTCTGTGGCTCTGAGCAATGCTTTTCATTGACATGAATCCATTATAGTTATTGATTAACCCATCACCTGCTGATGTATTTGTATTATCTGAGGGAGCTCGGAGGAAAATCTTGCTTAAGCATGTTCAATCCAGCAGCACTGTGCTCTACGCCCACAAATACAGACTGTACTCTTTGAAGAACATGGTAAACACAAGGGCAAAAGTAAGGGGGCCATAAAATACCCCCAACCTTTTCTAGCACCAAAAATCCAACCTGCTGTGAGTCCTACAGCCCTTTTACCTATTAATTTCAGGTCTGTCTACATAGCCAAAATGTAGCCATGCAAAATGAAACATTATTACCAGTATTATCACCAATGGGGAGTTGTGCAAAAAGTTTTATAATGTAAAGCTGACTTGAAAGTGGGGGTGGAGGGAGACTGAATAGGTGCCCTTTTTTGTTTCTTTGTGATGTATAAATAGGGCCTGGAAGATTTTTGTGGTGGGGGGTGTTAGTGTATGTGTTGTGGAAGGTAGGAGAGGGGGTTTTGTGCTCAATTTTTGCCTTAGAAATATCAGCATATCCAGTCCTGTCTTCTCTTCTTTTGTTGAAAGACTTGTGGGCACTCTCTGAAATGTGGGTTGTGAGCTTTCTCAGAGCTTAACCAAAGAGGCAGGGGTGTTAAATTTTAGGCATCCTTATAACCAAGTGCTTGTCAGTCATTTAAGTGAATAGGTGTTAACAAAAAAGCCACAAAAATGTGTCAGCACACCCAACTGCCACAAGCTGGCCCAGTTTGACCTTTGAGAAGCAGTGTCTATTAGTCAAAATGCACCCCAGAATTCTTTGCATCAGCTACCTTGGCAGTGTGGTGACTCTGTGGGTGCTCTGGGGCTCAAGCACCCCCAGAAAAAAACATGGGGTGCTCAGCACCCACAGACCATTGCCCTGCCCATTGTTCCACCTTGAGGTCCCATCCCTGCTCGGCCTCTTGCCCTGTGGCCCTGCCCATAGTGCGCCGCCTCCTCTTCTCCTAAGGCCCCCGGCCACTCACTCCTCTCCACCCCCTCTTCCCATCACTCACCCTTAAGGAAGGAGAGGACAGAAAGAAGCAAGCGGGAGGCGCTCAGCAGTGGGGGCAGAGAGGAACAAGCACCAGGCATGGGAGGGGCCTCAGGGGAAGAGGCGGAGCAAAGGCGGGAATCGGTGGAGTGGGGGCAGGGCCTTGAGGGATGAGGCTGAGCACCCACTGGCAAAAACAAGTCAGCGCATGTGCTTGGCACCATTTTTAAGCACCACTGTAGCTAGTGGAAAGAATTCTAGGGGTTATTGGTAACTAAAAGTGCCTGCTGCACAAAAAAAACACAGATAAAGGGGATATGCTTTGGGAGGAGGAAATTATATAAGGGACTGGCTATGCCAGTGACAGTACAAGAGCAGGCAGTGATGGGCGCATGGGCATCAAATTCCATTTTCAACAATGCACTTAAGGTCACCCCTGCCCAAAGAAATCCTCTCTAGGGTGAGAGAGGAGTTATAGCTTTATGGCCCATTCAGTTCTTGGTCACTGGTTTGAGATTTCTTAATGAGAGGGCCTGTATTTTAATGATAGTTTCCAAGATATGGACATCTGCCTCACTTCTCACAATGACAGTACTTTTCAAGTGTACTCTCTTATACCTAAATCTCCCCATCCTGATCCCAAGCTCTTACTTAGAAATATTGAACTCCACAAACTTCTGTTGTGGTCTAGCTGCATAGCCAAAATTAGCCTCAAATACTGATAAGATAGGGAGACTTTACCTGCGTTCTCTTTTTCCTTCTGCAATAGTATTATTTAATTGAGTTACGCTTGCTATGTCCTCTGGTTTGAACAATATACTGACTATAGTTCCCTACCCACTGAAACTGAGCAAGCAAATTCCCACTCAGGCCCTGCACTGGACCTATGCAGAGATCAAATTCAGGAAAGAGAGTAGGAAATGAAACACACACGCTCTTCGTAAACTAAAGCAACCAACACAAGGCCTGTGTTATATAGGAGGTCAGACTGTATGATCACAATGGTCCCTTCTGGCTTCAGAGGCTATAAAAGACAGTGTAAGGGAAAGCAAGCTTGGACACTTCTCGTGCTCTCCTACTTCTACTTTGACCTAAAAGTTAATATGTTTACAAAGTGGAAATGCGCCAGTCACTGTGGGTTAAAGATTTATAATAGAAGGAGGGCTGATGGCTCTGGGACTAAGATCTGGAGCTTTTCATAACTCCTCAGATCTAGTGTCCATCAGCGGTGTAAATTCCATTCTCATTATCCAGTGGCCCATGTGAACTGAGTGGTGGTTTACTTCTATTGGTGAGGAGTGTTCACATCACAAAAGCCCGCACACATCATAAATTAGCTGCCTCGCTAGCAGTCACACTAGAGAGGTTAAGGACTGAGTAGGCCATGGAGACTGATTTCCCCTCTCCCTCCTAGAATTGGGGACAGGTCAAAGCAGAAGCACATTGGCAGGCTACAGTGTGGGAGCAGTTTGCCCTCCAGCTACCCGTCTTTTCTCTGGCTCAAAAGAGATTGTGATCTCCATTGCTGACCTCTGGGGACCTTTCACAAATAATAAATGATAATAATTAACTTCCACGGCACCAGCTGTGGGGTAGCCCCAGAACAGTGACAGGACAATTTTTCACAATAATCTATCTTAATACATGTGATCTTTTTAAAAATCTGCTGCAAAACAAGGGGCTACATTCAAAAAGAATGAGCAATACATTTGCATTAATATTATTGTTTTGTTATTGTATTGTGGTAAGGACCCCAAACAGGGCTCTGGGCCCCATTTTATAAGCACTGTACAAAGAAATCACACAAGGGAGTACCAGCTGCCAGAGAGCTCACAATCCAGGATTTGGCAATATATGAATATGCAGACAAATGGTTTGGAGGAAGAGAGGACGAGGTAACAGAAACAGGTGTGACTGCATAAATTAACAAATGCAGTTAGTACATTTTAGTTGGACAACAAGAAACAGGAGAGAAGATCTCTCCTTTTGTAAACAAAATATATCAGCATAAACACTATAATCATATACATGACCCTTTCAGTCTCCAGATTGCGTCTCACGCATGTTTTGGATGTGCAAAGTCTGGCAGATTATCAGAGTAAAGTTCCCAAACACATTTTAAATCCTGTGCTACATGATGAAATTCCCTCTGGCTCCTACTGGCATCTCTGCCTGTGACATATGGTGGGAAGATGTCATGTCAGATTTCCAACAGGTCTTGTTGCCTACCAGTGACAAAATCCATCACAGTTACTCCACATGGCAGTGCTAACATATTCCCAGCTAGTCTTGTTCTTGCTAGTCAATTTCCCAGGCCTTGTGATTTCGTTCGGCTCATGACAACATGCATCCATATGGTCCTGTGCTCTGATTCCCATTAGTCTTTGCAAGTGAGGCAGGACAGGGCTGCATCAGCGTTTAGACTGGAGATCTTCCAGAACATCTAAGTGGTACATGTAGTGGTGGTGGATGGTGATTAAGTAGGTGGGGCTATTTGTTGTTATTAAATAATTATGTTGCCATAAGGTCCAGAGACCACAATCAGGATGAGGATCTGCTTGTGCAAAACACCGTACAAACATGTATAAAGATATGATCCCTGCCCCGAAGAGCTTACAACCTAAGAAGACAAGTAACACATGAAAGCTCTGGGAAGAGGGATACACAATAATTATGTACAATATATAAATTAAAATATATTTGATTACTATAGATAAAGTAAATGCCACCTATCTCCATCTGCCCCGGAGCCCAGACAGCCTGAACTGACTGTTTCTTGTAAATGATGTTGCATGGGAAAAAAACAATTGATTTTAATAGAGCTGGTTGAAACTCAGAATTTATGTTTTGTGGAAATCTCATTGAAATTGTTACAATCTCAGGAAAATTTTCAGTTTTGTTAAAATGGCATTTTCCAGTGAAAAACTGTTTTGACAAACATGTTCTGGCAAGCTGTGATGTTTAATACACATGTTATGAAGCCTAGTTTCCCATAAACATGCAGCAGATTTACTGCATAAACTGCTTGTCTACACTTTTTTGGGCCTTCATGTCTTTTCCTCATCTTATCTATCATCTCTCATTCATTATCCATGTGTGGACTCCCACCTCTGATCAACCCATGCTGCCAACCTCCATCAGCCACTTACTGAATTTTAAAACAAGCCCCTTTGTGCTTTCTCCCAGGCTGCCCCTCACAGTTGGGAGATGCTCCCCACAAACATCCACAGAGCAATCTCATTATCCAACTTCAAATTCCTCCTCAAAACTCTTCTTTGACAGGATGCCTCCAAAAACCAGAGCCACTGGTGTGCCGAGACCACTGCCTAACATGCTGACCCATAATGTCTCATTGTTTCTTTGTACCCCGGTCTGCTTGCATCCAGCTGTTGTCTCTTGTCAGATTGTCAGTTCTTTGGGCCAAGGATCATCTTTCATTCTTTGTACAGCACCTAGCACAATGGGGTCCCAATCCATGACAGAGGCATCTAGGTGCTACACTAATACAAATAATAATAATAATAATAGCAGTTACGGAAGATATCAACTGAAGTCAGCCAGGCATCAGTGGAAAAACAAGTGCCTAGATTTCAGTGCTACTAAACTCTGGTCTGGCTTGTAAAGCAAAACACAATTGGGCACAAATAACTGTGCATGATATAATACAGCCTGGTTAATGAGATTTTTTCCCTTAGGCTAATATGCAACCAGAGGGACTGAATTCATCCATTGCATATGCACAGATGCAGCGAAAGGGGTGGAGGTGCCAACTTCCTCCAAACTATTTCAAAATCACCCAGTCTGCGCTTATAACTCAACTGGAGTATTGTGTCCAGTTCTGGGTGCCACATTTCAGGAAAGATGTGGACAAGTCGAGAAGAGCAACAAAAATGATTAAAGGTCTAGAAAACATGACCTATGAGGAACGATTGAAAAAAATGGGTTTGTTTAGTTTGGAGAAGAGAAGATGGGGGGATGAGGCAGGACATGGTAACAGTTTTCAAGTACATAAAAGGTTTCTCGTTAACTTCTGAGGATAGGAAAAGAAGTAATGGGCTTAAATTGCAGCAGGGGCTGTTTAGGTTGGACATTAGGAAAAACTTCCTGTCAGGATTGTTAAGCACTGGAACAAATTGCCTAGGGAGGTTGTGAAATCTCTGTCATTGGAGGTTCTTAAGTACAGAATAGACACACACCTGTCAGTGATGGTCTAGTTCAGGGGTCGGCAACCTGTGGCATGCGTGCCAAACATGGCACGCAAGCCAGTTTTTAATGGCACGCTGCTGTCTGCCAGGGACAGCAGTGTGCAATTAAAAATCCTGCCCAGCCCAGCCCACTCTTCTCCACCTCCGCTGACCACTCTCTCCTTGCAGGGCAGGCAAACTTCCCCCTCCCCCCTGCCTCTTCCCCCAGTGTGCTGGGTTCTTGCCCCTCCTCCTCTCCGTCCCTGCGGCTGATCAGCTGACAGCCCTTGCTATGCAGGGGAGAGGGAAAAGTGGAGCTGCAGCACTCTCGCCTCCAGCCCCCTGCTGTGAGCCGCTCACAGCTCCTGTACCCCCCACACACACCCAGCCCTCTGCCCTCACCCCTGCCCCCCGCACACCCCAGCCCCGTGCCCTCACCCCTGCACCCCCACCACAACCGCAGCCCTGACTCCGGCATCCCCCACACATACCCAGCCCCCCCAGTCCCCTGCCCTGACTCCCTCCTCACACACCCCCAGTCCCTTGCCCTGACTCTTGCACCGCCACATCCCGACCCTCACCCTGAGCACCAAACAGGAGGTCCTGCACACACACACCTACGTTCCCCCCTGCACCCCTCGCACCAAATGGGAGCTGCCCAGGTAAGCGCACTATACCCAAACCTCCTGCCCCAACCCTGAGCCCCCTCCCTCATTCTAGCTCCTGGCCAGACCCTACACCCCAACCCCAGCCTGCTCCTTTACCCCCAGACCTGTGCTCAGTGCACTCCCACCTTCAGCTCAGTGCAGAGAGAGGAAGAGAATGGGCCAGAACCAGGGAGAAAGTAGGTACCTACTCTATGTGGACAGGGCTGGGACCCCAGACCGGCAGTGGGGTGAGCGGGGCCAGCAGCCGGGACCCTGGCTGGCAGGAGCCGGCAGCGGAACCCCAGATCGGCAGCGGGCTGAGCCACTCAGCCCACTGCTGGTCTGGGGTCCCGGCCGCTGGCCCTTCTCAGCCTGCTGCCGGTCTGGGGTTCTGGCTGCCGGCCCCTTGGCAGTTGGGGTCCCGGCCGCAGGCCCCACTCAGCCCGCTGCCGGCCTAGGTGAACAGAACCCCAGGCTGGCAGCGGGCTGAGCAGGCCGGCGGTGTAAGATCAGCATTTTAATTTAATTTTAAATGAAGCTTCTTAAACATTTTGAAAACCTTGTTTACATACAACAATAGTTTAGTTATATAATATATAGACTTATAGAGAGAGACCTTCTAAAAAACGTTAAAATGTATTACTGGCATGCGAAACCTTAAATTAAAGTGAATAAATGAAGACTTGGCACACCACTTCTGAAAGGTTGCCGACCCCTGGTCTAGTATGTAGTCCTGCCTTGAGTGCAGAGGACTAGACGAGATGACCTCTCAAGTTTCTGTTGATTCTATTTTTCCCCAACCATCACAAAAGCTCCAGAAGGCAACGAGCCAAAGATAGTTGGATGCAGCTTGTCAAGCTGATTCCCAGTCAGCCAGATGAGGTTTCTGGAGTGTAATGAGGCACTTCCAGCAGATGTAGGTGAAATTTTTTTTTGATTAATTGTTGCATTTTTCAGGCCCTGAACCTATTTGCCAAATTTGGGTCAAATTCAATTAATAGATTTGATGCGGGGAGGGTGGGGGATGTTTAGAGTCAAAACATTTTGTTGCTAAATGTTTCATTTAGATGGTGTTGAAATGTTTCATTTTGAATTTTTGATTCAAAATGGCATTTTGATTTCAAATTTGGCCAATAAAAAAAACACTTGAAATGGCTGAATCAAAATGCATTTTTAAAAAATTGTTTCAAGTCAACCGAAGCATTTTGGTAGATTTGAAATTGAATTTTTTTGAGTTTCAATTGATGGAAAAAAATTGGAAAAATGAGTTTTAGTTTCAGTTTAGCCAGAGTTTTTTTCTGGATTTTTCCGTTTGTCCCCCAAACCAAAAAATCCATTATTTTCTCAGCTCTAACTCCTACCCATTGCGGGCCCAGACAGTGAGATACTAAACTCCGTCCAAACTATTTGGTAGCTGCCAATAGAGAATGCTCTCTGCTCCTCAGATGTCTCTTTTCTATCTTTGCTGTCTTTTGCATGTCTCTATCCTTTTCCTGTTGTGTTTTTTTTCTCCTTTTCACCAGGATTTCACTTAGAGATTCATAGATTCCAAGTCTAGAAAGAACCGTCGTGGTCATCTAATCTGACCTCCTGTATAACAGGCCATAGAATGTCCCTGAAAAAATTCCCAGAGCAGATCTTTTCGAAAAACATCCAGTCTTGATTTAAAAATTGCCAGTGATGGAGAATCCACCTGAATCTTGGTAAATTGTTCCAGTGCTTAATTACCTTAACTGTTAAATATTATTTTGTGTCTGAATTTGTCTAGCTCCAATTTCCAGCTATTGGATCATGTTATACCTTTCTCCGCTAGATTGAAGAGCCCATTATCAAAGTGTTGTTCCCCATGTAGGTACTTGTAGACTGTAATCAAGTCATCTCTTAACCCTCTCTTTGTTAAGCTAAATAGATTAAGCTCCTGGAGTCTATAACTATAAAGGCATGTTTTCCAATCCTTTAATCATTCTCATGGCTCTTCTCTGAACCCTCTCTAGTTTATCAGCATAATTCTTGAACTGGAACATCCAAACTGGACACAGTATTCCAGCAGTGATCACACCAGTACCAAATACAGAGATAAAATAACCTCTCTACTCCTACTTGAGAAGATTTTCTGTTTATGCTTCCAAGGATCACATTAGCCTTTCAGCCACAGCATCAGACAGAAAGCTAATGTTCAGCTAATTGCCCACCACAACCACTGTTCCCTCTAAGGTGGCCTCCCAAGAGTCAATCAAGGGCCATGCACATCTGCTCGTGCCCTCTGCCTTGGAGCCCCTGGCCAGCTGTTCCCTGGACGGGGCCCTCCTGCTTGCTGTGCAGGGCGGAAGGGGGTGCTGATGTCAGGGTGTCCCCCTTCCTCCCCACCAATGTACCCCATCTCCACAGAGCTGGAGAGGGGGACAGGGCTTAGGAGTAGGACAGAACTGCTTATGGCTGCTGCAGTCTGAATGAGCCTTCAGAATGCCTCTCTGCTTAAAGAGACAGCGCATGGTCTCTCATACACTTCCCCAGCAGATAGCACACACACGCTCTGTCTTTGTCTCACACACATACACACACACTGTCTCTCTCTCATACACACACACAGTCTCTGTCTCACACACAAATACACACACTGTCTCTGTCTCACACAGACATGCACGCACGCACACAGTCTCTCTCTCTCTCTCTCTCTCACAAACACACACACACTCTGTCTCTTTCACACTCACCTCCCAATGCATTTCATAATTTTATTTCTCTCTTATGCTTACATTTAATTCTTCGAGTAGTGAGTTCTAAAATGCCTAACTTGTCCTGGCTGGAGTAATTATCCCTATGGTAACTTTTAAAAAATATATATTAAATCTAAGGTTTTTGTTTCCACTGGTGATGCACATTTGCACATCACATCGATATTGGTGTACAACAAAATTAATTCTGCACATGGATGGAAAAAATTAGAGGGAACATTGACTACAACCCTCAATCTTTTTCAGAGTAACTGCTTCCCAGGATTGAGTCTCCCATCCTGTAGGCATGGCCTACATTCTTTGTTCCTAGATGGATAAATTTACCCGAATTTAAATGCATATTGCTTGTTTTCTCCCTATATACCAAGCGATCCAGATTGCTCTGTATCAGTGACCTGTCCTCTTCATTATTTACCACTCCGTCAACTCTGATGTCATCTGCAAACTTTATCAGTGATGACTTTATGTTTTCTTCCAGGTCACTGATCAAAATGTTAAATGGCATAGGGCCAGGGGTGAAAGTAACACAGAAGACTTACTGGTACGGGGACCCGGCTCCGGGCCCCCAGAAGGGGCGCGGCCTAGGGAAGAAGGGCAGGTGGAAGGGTCCCTACCAGCAGGGCCGCTGACGGAGGGGGCAAAAAGGGGCAGCGACGTTAAAGCGCTGCCGCAGCAGTACTTTAAGGAGGGTCCTTAAAGCACTGCCATGGCAGCGCTTTAACGTTGGCTGCGTATGGGCCGGTACTGGTGACCACTTCTCACCAGTACTCCATACCAGCCTATACAGCCCACTTTCACCCCTGCATAGGGCCAAGAGCCTATCCCTCTGGTACCCCACTAGAAATTCACCTGCTCGAGGGGATGGGTGCCTGTTTACAATTACTTTTTGAGACCTATCAGTTAGCAAACTTTTAATCCATTTAATGTGAATCATATTAATTTTATATCATTCTAGTTTTTGAATCAAAATATCATGCAATCCCAAGTCAAATGCCTTACAGAAGTAATTACATCAACATAATTACCCTTATCAACTAAGCTTGTAGTCTCATCAAAAAAAGATATCAAGTTAGTTTGCCAGGATCTGTTTTCCATAAACCCATGCTGATTTGCGTGAATTATATTACCCTCCTTTAATTCTTTATTAATCAGATCAACTGTATCAGCCACTCCAATTTTTTGACTGGTACTGATGTCAGTCTTTCAATTGCCTAGATCATTCCATTTATTTGTTTTAAATATTGGCACAACAGTAGCTTTCTTCCAGTCTTCTGGAACTTCCTGAGTGTTCCAAAACTTTTTGAAAATCAACATTTATGGTCCTGAGAACGCCCCAGACAGTTCTTTTAAAACTCTTGCATGCAAGGTATCTGGACCTGCTGATTTAAACCTGTCTAATTTTGATATCTTCTGTTTAGCATCCTCCTAAGGTGCTAATAGAATGGAAAGTGTTATTTTATTATATGACTACATCTGTTTTTTCCCAAATACAAAACAGAAATATTTATTGAACACTTCTGTCTTTTCTGCATTGTTCTTGATAATTCTATCATCTACACCTTGTGTTCTTCTTTCTGGATCAGTATGAAAACAATGAACTATTATTATTCTTTAGTGCTGACAACATTCTTGGTGCTGTACAGTGCACAAAAGTTTAGATAGTCCCTGCTTTCAAGAGTTTACGGTCTAGAATGGTGGTTCTAGATTATCTCCCTCGCATGGTGTGTCTGAGAAAATGCCAACTTTCAGATAAGATTTAAAGCTAAGGGGTGAAATCTTACTCCTGTTTAAGTGAGTGGCAAAACTCCCATTGACTTCAGTGTGTCCAGGATTTCACTCAAGGGCCTGACCACTAGTGGGAATAAAGGATTCCATCGCACTGTCCATGAGAGTGCAGGTAACTCCAGGGTCTTTGCCCAAATTCCAGCTAGTGCAAATACATTCTGTCCTCCCAAAATTCATCCCCCAGTACTCAGGCTAGAGCTGATCCAAAAAATAAAAGGAGAAAATGCTGAAATTTTTTTAAATGCTCCCCCTATAAAGAAAATCAAAACCAAACATTCACATAATTTCAGCCAGCTTCTATGACTGGCTGAAAAGCAGGGAACATTTTTCATGACCATTCTGTTGAAAAGTTTATCAATTATTTTTTTTTAAATTGTCAAAATTCAGAAAGTTCTGACCAGCACTAATGAGTAGGGTACAGAATCCTTCACTTCTCTCCCTAGCCTGCTGTGTAGCATTACTGTACACTGATAAACAACTACCACCTTTCACACCAGAGCTGGGGAAGTGATGCCTTTTAAATCCCACACATTGTGAGATCTGTGGATTGAAATTGCTAGAGGTATTATGAATAAAATAGTCTTATAAATCAATTTCAGAAAGGGCTTTTTCTTGTTCCTGAAATGCCTTATTGATCTTAAAGTGTACCCTTTTCTCTCTTGTACTTGAATAACTACTCTCTCTAACAGCTAATAAGAAAAAGGAAAACTAGTGGAACAGAGTCCTTTCCCCTCTTCTCGTTTTATCTTCCTCAGATCAATCCCTGGATTGGTTCAAAGAAGAAAGGCCTGTGTTTGATTAAACCCAGACTGAGTTGAGTAAACAGCTGGGAAACTCTTTTGGACTTTCTCACTTGCAGGGCAGACAGTTTGCAATCAGCCTGACTTTGTCCCTGCAGCTGCTCCAACAAGAAAATCAGCAAGAAGAGTTTGTTTTTAGGAGACCACAACAGACCATTTTGGCCAAACATCTCATTTGTTTTTGTATTTGCCAAAGTGAGAAAGCAAAGTGAGGAAAATGGCACAGTTGAAGGTAAGTGATCCTGTGACACCCAAGAGCCTGTGTGTGTGAGAGAAAGAGAAATATGCCATCTCTTTCTCCCCCCCTGCTCCTCCACTTTCTTGTTAGCAGTTCCATAGCTCTTTAAAGCCCAAAAGAGTGGGGAAAGGGAACTGCTAGAACATGTCTGCAATGAGGTGCTTAATGTGTGGGGTGGAGCGCAGTAACTGGGGAGGTTTGGATAATTAGGGTGATGTAGCGGGATAGTTGTTTATTTTCTAAACCTGAAGTCCACATGTGAGTTAGGGGTGGTTCTCTTGACAGAGATACCAAGTCTCATTTAAATTTAAAGTTTCTCATTTTTAAAAATTCATTTCAAGGCAGGTTATAGAGTCTCCCTTTCTTGGATGAATGATTTTGTTGTGTTTAATTTGGGATGTTGTAAATCTCACGGTAAGCAGATTGTCCCAGTTCAGGAGTCTTTCCATATGAACTTTTGTCATCCCCCTCCCCCAGCACACCTCCTCTTGCTGATCTACCTGCCTGGGGGTGTTTCCCAACCAGCCAATGACATTTATCTTGCAACATCTGCCCTGCTGTTGCAACCCTCTTAAACTAACACCAAGCTTTATATCATAGAAAAGTAGTTAGAGCAGGGGACTGTTAGGACTCCTAGATTCTAAACCTGGCTTTATTACTGACTTTCTAGTTATCTTAGGCAAGTCACTTCACTTCTCAGTAAAAAGAAAAGGAGTACTTGTGGCACCTTAGAGACTAACCACGGCTGTTACTCTGAAACCTGTCACTTCTCAGTGTCCCTCTATGTAAAATGGGGAGAATGATACTGACTTATCTCACAGGGGGACTGTAAAACATTAGTGACTGCAAGCTTTGGGAAAGATAACCAGGCTGTTTGGAGATACAGATCTCTGAGACAACAGTGGCTTTTATTCTGAAGAACAGGATTTCCAAGTAAGTGCCTAGACAGTTTAAGAATGAAGTTCCTGAACCAGCTACCCCCTTTCATGAAGATCCTGTTCTTCACGGAAGGAGATGTTCCTATATCAAAGATCCTTGTCCTTTCAGGAGGAAAATTAATCTTTCAAAAACTTGGAAATCCATACTTCAAAATATCACAGTATGTGTCTGTTAAGGGTGATCTACATATACACAAAAGTTAAATCATCTAACAGCACATATCATCTACTCTTCCACCAAGAGATATGTACTTCACTAATAGCATGACCATTTTTCATTACAGAATGAACCACCACAACCTTAACTCTGCCCCATGTGCAGGGGAAATCTGGAGTAAGGGGACAGTTGGAAGTCCCGCATCAAACAGTGGCTGAGTTAAAGTTATAGTGCATTGACTGTGGCATAAGAAAGCTGTGCTCTAATGAAATGTTTAGCTCTGGGTGAAGGAGGAGCGGTTATGTCCTGTTATATGCCTTACCTGTTCATTTCCTTGCTTTTGTGGTTTTATATTTGGTGTTGTGTAGACCAATCTTAACTGATGCACAATGTAATGTTTTTGTGTCTGAATTAATACATTATTTTTTAGTATCATCCAGCAGTAGTTGAAAAATGTATTATTCACAACGCTTGAAGAGGGGCATTAATTATATTCCAGTCTATGTATTCAGACTTCAAAAGCATTTTTCCAGGCCTGCTGTCTAATCTCTCCAGCAAAAGGTTATGGTTTATAGAGAACTCCACTTTGCATCCCAGTCATTCAAATCCATGGATGTTGTTTAATTTTTTATATTGCACTGGGCTTTTATCTCCCCCATTTTACACTTTGTCTTTGTTTTTACATTTTTTAAGTAATCAAACGTATTCTTAAGATCACATTTACATAGACTGCTGCAGGATTATGAGAGAAACACACATACACTAGAAACTTTGCAAACTTTTCTTTTCACAGAAAAACCTTCTCCCCAGTTCCCCTGAGCTCTCCCCTCACCAACCCACCCACACAACCCGCTGGGATGGTTAGAAATAGTGGTAAGAATAATGAAAACAGACCAGGAGTGCATCCCAAGGGAGGTAGCTTGTAATAATTATCTTGTTTCATCTCACATATAAGAACTTGGTGAAGGGGAGATTTCAAACAGATTTCAGAGTTGTTGTTTTTTGTTTTTTTTTTAAACCTTACCATCTTTTCTGAAGAAATTACCTACATGGGTCCCAGTCCTGTAACTGGATCTATGGAGGCAGATCTTTACCCCTATATGGAGTCCCACTGAAGCTGGGGGCTCCACTCTCCTGGATCAGATTGTTCAGGCTGGATCAGAAAAATTCAAGCCAGGGAATCTACTACAGTTCATTGCTGTGTTATTTGTCTAAACTTTTGTGAATTCAGAGTTGGTGAAAGATGCTGGAGTAACAGCCCTGGAGAGTGAAGCCCTCTGTTTATTCACAGAGCTGATACAGCATGGACAGTGGCAGGGCAAGTTTCCCAATGGTGCCCTGACTGTGATTCTTAGGGTGTGTGTCCACAGCAATGAATGTGTGACTGTAGTACAGGTATGCTTACTCACAGGAGCGTTAATCTAGCAGACACATGTAACAATAGTAAAGACGTGGTGGTATGGACACTGGAACAAGCTAGCAACCCAAGTAAGTACCCAGGGCTCCTGGTGGGTTTGTACTGGGGTGGCTAGCCTATGTCCCCACATCTTTACTACTGTTGTAACCTGTGCTCGCTAGATTAAAGATAGCGTGGGTGTGCCTACCCACAGTACAGTTATATCTTTATTTGTGATGTGGATATGCCTTTGGTGGTGAGAGGGGAGTTGGGTTTCAACGGCCCTTTCAGTCCTTGGCTGTTCTGGTGAGACTATCAACATGCAGCCCAGTTGGTGCCTGTGATAGTGCTTTGTAACAGGGCCGCCTGTCCGCTCGGACTTGGACTTAGATCCACCAAACTAATTAAACATGGACCAAACTACAGTCCCACGGTGACAGTTATTGTCGTCACTATCGGTATGGATTGGATTCAAACAAGTGATAGAGTTCGTATTGCCAGAGCCATCTGCCCCCAACCCTCTTCAACATGGTTTTATTATTTTTGCCAGTTTGAGAAATGTGCTTTAAAGTAACATTCAAATAACTGTCGTAGTGTAAAAGACTCTGGGGTTATACATTCATCTTGGTGTAGCCAGAGGGAAATGCTGCAGAGTTATAAATTGATCTCTAAGGGAACAAGTCTTTTGGAATTTGCTATAGCAAAAGGCAAAGTACAACTAAATAAAATACAAGTCCTTGAAAGCAAGTCAGTACTAAATAAATAGCAGGACAATGTCTCCCTGCCCACAAGAAGAAGCCGTTGTCTTTTGGAGGCCCTCAGTACAGTTACCTGTGATTTATTCTTTTTTTCTGTAGCATCTGGAAAACTCATTTGATAAAAAATGCCACAGCAGCAGCTTCCCTCACTCCTGCCAGTACACTGCAGCTGAGATGGGGAAGCTTGAGCAGGGCTCTGACAGTGCTTGTATGACAGGTCTCTAAACATCAACTCCTCCCTGACTCGACTGAATCCCATAAAACCTGCAACCCCCACCCCGGAATCTCTGGGCTCTGTGTATTGATAGGGGATGACTAATGCCTCTGCAGCTACCCACTGACTGCGTAAAGCATGAGGGGAACAGACAGTAGCTCAGCCTGTCCGAAATCTGCCTGCATCCCAGTGCTCTCAAGTCAGTCCCATGCTCTCAGCTGTGTTAGATGCAGTGCAGCAGATTGTGGACTCAGAGCAGATTCAGTCATGAGCTGCTTTTGATATTTCATTTCACAGAAAACAGGAATGAATAGATTTTTTTAGGGTATCCTAATTTGGGTGCAGCTGGGATTCTGTCCAGCTGATAGATTGGGTTACCTGAGAGGGTTTAAAGCTTTTTAGATTTGAGGGAGCTGATGGAGTCTATTGTAATAAAAATTTCACACAGCAGAGAGCTGAACAATGAGCTCATCTCTTTTCGCCATACGTTGCTGCACTGTGGACATTATGCATCTGAGGATTTTTCTAGCTAGATTAGCAGACCCACGAGCTAATCATGTCTCTGAGAACCACAAACTATCCCACCCCCCCATCAGTTTTAGTTCAGAACATTTTACAGGCTCATATAATATTCTACACATAATCACATGGTGTCTTTTCCATATGCAGCAGGCTTTTTGCATTAACCCTCCCCTCACTAAAAGAAAAGGAGTACTTGTGGCACCTTACAGACTAACCAATTTATTTGAGCATAAGCTTTCGTGAGCTACAGCTCACTTCATCGGATGTAGCTCACAAAAGCTTATGCTCAAATAAATTGGTTAGTCTGTAAGGTGCCACAAGTCCTCCTTTTCTTTTTGCGAATATAGACTAATACGGCTGCTACTCTGAAACCTCTCCTCACTGTGGAGCTGACGTTGCATCAGGCCTGGCCCACCCTGGCCCTGGAAGAATAAGGTGCATTCCCCCCTCCCCATCACACATATCCTTACCCCACTATGAAGTAAGCTGTAGCCCACGAAAGCTTATGCTCTAATAAATTTGTTAGTCTCTAAAGTGCCACAAGTACTCCTTTTCTTTTTGTGGATACAGACTAACACGGCTGCTACTCTGAAACCCACCATGTTTGCATCTTTGATAAAGGTGAATGCAGTGAGTAGGGCTGGTTTAATTCTGGAACTGCTGCAGTCCCATCAGATCTTGCTGCAGTTCTGTTTCGGGGGCGGGGTGGGGGGGGAAAGCTCCATTACAATACATTTGCCAGGACTGCCTCTGGTGACCTGCTGTTTTGCATATCAATATGCATCTTGCAGCACTGCTTGCGGAAACACACGGAGACCAGAGTCCCAGTGATTTATTCATCTGCAGGAGGAACAGGGAACTTTCTTCCTATAAACCACTGGTTCCCAACTGTTTGCATCTTTAGAGCCAGCAGGGTTGGATTAATGCCTGCACATAATGCCATTGGGAGCTTCATGGCCCCTTCCCTATGCCATATACCTGCCCCCTGAGCTGCAATAGCTGTGGCAGGGTGCTCCCTCTACCATTCCACAGAGATGCCCCCTGTCCTGTCATATTCATTTGTTTCCCTCAGGCTCCCTTCCTGCCTCCTGACAATAGTGGAGAGTGGCAATTTTGATTAATGGCAACATTTCCTGAGGTTTATCTTGATCATCCCAAGATCATGAGCAGCTTTTAAAGATCATTGGATATCGTGAGTTCTGTGATCATATCACAAGAATTGCTGTCTCTGCCAGTTTCAGCGCAGATTGAGATTATTGTGACAGCTAGTTGAATGCACTGATAAGCCCATCTAACCCCTACTCTTAAGTGTTGAGTATTTCCACATCCACCCCCTGTGAATTTTTCTGTAGTTTGCATTATCATTTGCTGACTACACGGTGTTAGGACATAGTGTTTACTGTCTTGAGTGGTTTTCCACTTGGGACCCCTAGAAATGTCACAAATAAATCTCTGGAGAACACATACACACACACTCTTTGCAAGCCAGATGCTTTAAGTGTCACAGGATGCAGGTGAGAGGATTGTTTGAGACATTTTTAATCCTTCCAACCCCAAATGTCAGCTGCCTGACCCAATATCAAGAAACCTGAGGCCTTGTCTACAGGGGGTGTTCAGCCACTGTTGTAAGCTGCACTGATGTATATGTACTAGTTCAAATATTCCCTTACCACCTGTAGCGGGAGAGGTAGTGTGACTTGACGGCAGGGAGTGAGAGAAGTCCAAACAAATGTGTAGCAAGGTGGGGGCTACAGCTAATTGCTGATATTCCTAGTAGCTGGTGTCCAGTGCCAGTAAAAACTAAAAAGGCCGGTTCCCAGAGGTAAATGGGATCCAGGATTGTGCAGATGGACCTTGTGCTCACGGGGGAGGGGAAAGGAAGCTGAAGTCTTTGCAGATTGAGCTTCCCTCTACCCTCCCCCTTATGTGGAGTGGGGGAAAGAGATTGCACAGCTGAACTGAATTGCTTGGTTTGTGACCAAAGCTCTGTAATCCACACCTGAGCCAATTAAATGCCTGGTACCTGAGAGCTGGGGTGGGCAAAGTAGCTCCCTCTCCCCAAGGTATAATTAACAAACTTGCAGCTTGCTGTTTAAACCCATCCCATGTGCCTGTCAATCATTCACCTGCTACCCTAGTCAAACCCTAAAGTACACTTTCTGCACTGGTGTGAATGGTGACTTGCAAGAATGCAGTTTATCATGGTTTGAAACTGGGGTTAGCCCACTGGGTAGGAGTAAGGGCTGTGAGGAGCCCAGCTCTCTTCCCCCCTGCGCTTGCAACAGGCAGGAGCTGTATGCCTGAGGAGAACCCAGGACTGAAAACTCTGCCCCCTGCTCTGGAGCCCATGCAGGCAGAACAGGCCTACGAGGATGTGCAGATCACTTTCTCTAGTGTGGATCCCCTGTGTGCACATCAGCTTAGAAAACAAGATAAAACTTTTAAAATATTGCTTGTCTAACATGGCAGTGGGTGCTGGACATTAACTGAGCTCAAACCCAGTCAGACGATATCAGTTTGGTGCATATCAGTGACATAGTTTGAGCTCCAGGTGTGTGTGCCAGGTCCTTTAACGGGGGGCACTGTATGTCAGACCCCCCACTACCCAAATGACTTCAGATTTGCTTTACTAACCATGTCCTGGAGCCCAGTAAGTCACCAGTTTATAAGACAGCATGGGCATACAAGCAGATGTTCTGGCACTTAGAAAAATCACCTTTGACAGAGTAACCTTGTCTCAACATTAACTCTGGTGGAGCTAGCTCTCCTCCATAATGTCAGTGAAGTGCTTTGATTTCCTTGTGTGGAAGGGGCTACCCAAGGGTATTATTATTCCTGCACCCGGGCATGCTGTTATTTTGCATATCTAAAAAGTGCCGTATCGGGGTGCATTCACATGTGCAGACAGATTAGACTGAAAAGGAACCCTGGCTATGTCTGCCAAGATCATTGTGGGTTGATGAAGATAGCTAAACCCTCGTTCACATATTGCAAAGTCAGTCCTCTGAAATAACCAAACCGAAATAGATCACTTGGCAAAGTCAAACTGTACCCAAAGAATTTGGAAAAAGCACATCTGTTTATTTTTAAACATTTAGGAGTGAGTGTATGTTTGTGTTGTTATTTCATAGTACATGCCAGGATTTGGTAATGAATGTGTCTCTGAAGATCCACGCTGCCCTGGAGCTTTACCAGAAGGACAGGTACTGATTTATTAATTTTTTTAATAGCAAGGAGTAGTGTGAGCACCTGTTCCTCTGCTATTTTGAGTCTCAAGATGCAACTATGAATCTCAAGCCTGCCACTACAGAAACGTCCAGGAGCCTCCTTTTTGCAGCATTCGAACTGTGCATTCGTAAAAGTCATAGTTCAGGGTTTCCAGTCAAACTTCCTATTTTCAGTCATTCATAACTTTCCAAAGTTTTCACCTTTGGGGCTGAAATTTCCAGGCCTGGTCTCTGTCCCAGAGTGATTTTTTTTGGGAGGAAGTTGGAATGAAAATAGTTCAACTACGTTTGAGAATGAAGGGGGGGGGGGGGGAATGAACATTTTCCTCATTTTAAAAAAAAAATTCATGTGACTTTTTCTCTCAGCTCTAGCTCTGATGTGGATTGGGATAGAAGCTTGAAATCTGGGAGAGAAATAGCCCTACAGAGGAGAAGTGTTTCACTCAAAACTGATTTTGATTAGACTGAGCAATGAGTCCATGATAGGGCTGTGTCTCCTTTCTAGGGATGGGGGCAGGGAATAATTAGCGTGTCATGAGATGACAGGCTCATTACAAAGATGTTAAAAGTGAATAAAATAGAATAATTTATTTCCAAATATATTAGATTTTTAAAAAATTATGTTATCCTTGTTGCTTAAATGAAGGTCTGCAGGCCTCACTCTTACTATCCAACTTAGAGAAATAAAAGCAAGTCATCAGAGAATTAAAGACTATGGATCCAGATCTGGTTTCATTTACACCAAAGTAAATCCACTAAGCCTGATTCTCTACCATCTTGCATGTTGTATAAGTGCTTATACTTGGGCAGAGTGGGCATAAAACCCACCTGCAGCAGGATGGCAGCATTTTACACCCTGCTCTGCACTCTGTAAAGGTGTAAATGCACAAGGTGCAAAGATGTGGAGAATTAGGCCCTGGAGCATAAAGTGTATGCATATGAGGGAAGAGTTAAGTTTGTATAGCGAACCACAGCTCTGGCATTTCCTGACTTGAGGACTTCTAATACTATTGTTTTTTGCCAGGAGTGTATACTGTAGACAATTAAACACAAGTCACGGATGGGTTAAATGCAGTCTAGAGGCCCACTCACCTCCACAATGCAGCCTACATAACTGTAGGTCTCACTATGCAGTGCTCCATCCTGATGCCTCGCATACTCATTACATGCTGGGACCTGTAATCTCCAAGGACTGCTCTATTCAAAATGAGGGCAACTGCAACCTGCACTAGTTTATGCAAATTAAATGCAGCCCTCAGACTCCTGGTTGCCTATGCAGCACCCTCAGCTGGGCAAAGTTTGGTTGCCCCAGACAATACACAGTGTCAAAACAGTTAATACAAGATTTGAGAATGAGTAAAAAATACCAGGTCCCAAAGGTCCCCTCTGCAGTATTTATAAGGCAGGCATCTGTAGTGATGCAAGCTAAGATAAATACTACGGGGGCTGTTGATCCCCCCGCTTCAGAGCCTGCCATACTCACAAGGTGAGGTTTAAGGATTGAAGAACTAGGTGCATTATGAAGGTTTTACATTTTACTCTCACACAACTGACACTGGATGCTGTTAGGGGAGAATGGGAGACTGCGTGGACCACAGGTCTGTTTTGGTACAGCAGGGTGGCAGGATACCAGGCTAACTGCAGGTGGACTATAGGTCTGATCTGGTACAGCAGGTAGCTGGAGATACCAAATGAGATGGACTATTTGTCTGTTCCACTAGGGCATTTATCTGGGTGCCTTTGTTTCACACTAAGTTCACAACAAAGAGATGTCAGTCTAATTAGATGAAAACCTTTAGCCCCTTTCCTTGAAGAACAAATATTTCACCTATATACTCATAGGAATTGTTTCACTCTACAGCAGCCAGAACCAAGGGAAAGGCAGAGCGAAGTGGGGGAGTTTGCACCCTGCTGAATCACTGAGCTGATTGTTCTGAAACCCTGCACAAATTCAAAAAATTCCACAAAAGCCACCAGGGGGAGCTAACCCCATTAGCATCTGGAGCCACCAGGGGGAGCTAACTCCATTAGCATCTGGAGGCACCATCCCATTTTTAATGTCCACTGTATGGACCCATTCCCTAGTTGAGGGGTAGTATAGTTAGGAGAATCAGGGCAGTGATGGAGGAAAATATTCATTCACTGTGCAGTGATTGTACACTTACATACATTTGCTGCAGCTTCCTTAGGGCTATGGGCCAGGGGCCTTTACCAGCACTCTGCAGACAGTGCAGCTTTCTTACCAAGAGCCAAGTAAACATAAAGCATGGGACAGGAAATCCCAGTTGTGGGATCCTGATCAGCCCCTCCAAACATCTTGATGATAAAACAATGTGCTTGATAACCTGATTGATGTTTTGGTTGCTTTATTGATAATTCCCCTTTCCTTCGACAGCCTCCATAAGTGTTGCTCCTTAGTGGTTGCTCTAGAACTTGGTGTATACTCTAGCCACTTCTGTTGATTCCTTAGAGCTCCAGTGTATAGGGAAATTGATCTCAGAGGCTGGCTGATACCCACTGTATCTCTAACCTCATGAGAGATGGAGGCACCATGCAGATATCCTCACTGGTTAATCCTGTTATCAGTGAGCAGAGGGTGAGGCCATTGACAAAGTCCGTACCATTCTGAGTGAGTGGACCAGGCTCCAGACCACCTAGAGGAATTGGGAATTTTCTTTGTGCTGATGAGACTAATGCTAATACTTGTACAGTCGTCTTTAACCTGTTTCCATCATTTTCTCTTTTGGTTTAGAATAACCCTCAGGTCTGCCCATACGGTCTGTATGCAGAACAGCTCTCGGGCTCTGCCTTCACCTGCCCCAGGTCCACCAATAAGAGAAGGTACCATGATACTGCCCTGGGACAGCCATGATGTATTGCTGCATGCAGGCAGCAAGGCTGGTGGTGAGATCTGACTGTACATACTCAGTGTTTCCTGAGCTTGTAAACAACTCCACTCCATGCTGGGAGGGGGGAACTGTTTGGAAGGAAGAGGAAAAATCTCAGTGGAGTGAAGTAGGAGGTGGATTGTTTATGGGGGATGGGAAGGCCATGCTGGGAGTGGGGTGGGGTGCAGATCAAATAGTGAAGGGAAGAGGGAAGGTTTCAGTAGGATCTGGAGAAAGGGACAAAAGGTCTCAGGGGAGGCTGATGAGGATGAGCTGGTGAGGAAGAGGAAGGTCTCATGGAATGGGATCTGTGGGTGAAGAGGGAGGGATAGTTTCTCTGAAAGGAGGATCTGAGAGCTCTGGGATATGAGGTGAGGGTCTCAGTCCAGTTGCTAGTGGCTATCACAAAAACACACCCTCAGAATGGCTCCTTGTTGGCAGTGTCAGAAGATGGGCTATGGGACTTGAATTTTCCTCTCATCCTAGAGAACATCCCTGTGGGTCAGGGTTGAGGCTTACTGGCAGTGGCTGGTGTGGGGGAAGCTCCCGCTGCCGCCACCAGGCTGTATTTGATCTGTGGATAAGCAGAGGCGTCGGTCTGTGGGCTGTCAAACTGGCACCTGGCACCAGCATGCAATTTACCACAAAGAATTCTCATCAGATGCTGGAAACAGTGAGTTGCTGCTTTGAAGAAAAAGTCCTGAAGTTCAGGCCATTGTCTGATTGCAAGAGATTGGTTTATCATGTCACTGCTCCAACAGAGGCTTTCTGTCGCCTCCATTGTTCCATCAAATGAAAGGCAGATGCATCATCTGAGCTGCCTAGCAGTGCTCTGCTCTCAAGGCTGGTGCCATCTCTCAGGGTACGTGGAAAAGGGGATGACTCATTGTTTCTGCAAGTAAATGTCCTTGATGGAAATTTTCCATCTCCCAAGGAAGAGCTCCTTCCCCCACCCAAACGGCAGTGAGCAACCTTAACAAGGGAGAGAGGCTGTGGCATCCCTGTTTGTTGCCTTCCTGAATATCTCTGGCCACCGGCCTGGTTCAAAGCCCATCTCCTGGCTTAGCCCATTTTCTGTGTGCATGCTAGCTCAGGCACCAGATGTAGAGAGGAAGGGAGGTTCAGGAACTGGCATAGCGGACAGAAAGGAAGTAGAGTGCAGATCCATTTATCCAAAGGTTCAGGGCCTTGGGTTATATCAGGGCTTCATAAGAAGGGAGGCCAGTGGCAGAAAGCGGGGCTAGGCTGGAACTCAAAGCCCAGGCCTGACTCCCTCTGAAGTGTTCAAAATGCAAACTCAGATGTGGCTCTTGAGCCTCTCTCTAGCTGAATGGGCGTGCTCTGAGCTCCTGACCCCGTAGTGCAGTACAGAGCAGGCCAAGTGGTTTTTCAGGATTGCCAGCTTGAGAGGGGCTGTGCTTGAAGAGAGACATTAGAAGGCAAAACAATCTCAGGAGACAGAATATCACACTTTGGTTTCCTGGAGTTTGGTTAAATGGGTTTGCACTGAAATTCCCATGCTGCATTTACCCTCTAAAGCCCGGTTACCCCAGAGGAGCAGGTGTGTGTGTTAACCCTTTCATCGCTACCCAGCCAAGACTGTGTTTCTAAAGGGGAAGTGTCAGCACTAGTTAAATATCTTCTTCAGGGAATGCTGGGCTGAGCTGAACAGGCTGGATCGCAGAGCATGTTGCACCTGCCCTGCTTTGGATGTCTAACATCAACAGACCCCGGTCATCATTGAACCTGGGACCTCTGGAGCTCAGTGCATGAGCCTCTACCGCATGAGCTAAAAGCCAACTGGCTGTTAGCTACGGCTGTAGAGCAGGCTCATTTAACTCTCTCCCAAGTGGTCTCAATGCCACTAAATGGGACAGAACACCACACCCGGAAGTGTGTGGGTTATAGATGTGCTGCCTTCCATATGAGGTGTTGCTGTTTCTGCTCCACATAGTGGCAAATGATGCATTGCCCAAGGCTGGTGACCCAAACAGTTTCTGGAGCACAAGTTGATTCTGCTACAAGACAAAGGCTCTGGGGAAAGTAAATCAGTTACATCCTGTTCAGCAAAGCCTGCAGCTTTGGGCTGGGATCTCATTAGGTTTCATAAACTAGGCAGGGACATGTCTGGCTAGTGCTTGGATAGAGATCTCTGGAGAAAACCCACATGGATTCGGGAACTGCTGTTGATGAAAGAGTAAGTGATAGGTACGGCTAAGATTTTGTCACAGATATTTTTAGTAAAAGTCCTGGGCAATAATGAAAAATTCACGGAAGCCGTGACCTGTCCCTGGCTTTTACTAAAAACATCCATGATAAAATGAGGAGCCTGGACAGCTGTGGGTGGGTTGGGAACTCCAGGGTCCCCCTCCTCTGGGGGCTCCAAACTCCAGGGGTTCCCCCTGCCGCCACAGAGACCGGGAGCTCCGGGGGTCCCTTCTGCTGCCCATGGAGGCAGAGAGCTTCAGGGCCCCCTGGGCGGCATGGAGCAGCAGGGGTTCCCCCCGCCGCCCACAGCAGCTGGGAGCCCTGCCGGACCTCACTGCCGCCTGCGGAGGCAGAGAGCTGTGCAGGTCCCCCCTGTCGCCTGCGGTGGCGGGGACTATTGGGGTTCCCCCCTGCCTCCCGTGACAGTGGGAGCTGTGGAGATCACCCTGCTGCCAGTGGCAGCCAGGAGCAGTGGGAGTCCCCCCTGCCACCTGCAGGAACAGTTCGTGGTGGGGGTCCCTTCTACTGCCCGCGGTAGCCGGGAGCTGCAAGTGGTCTGCCTGCAACCTGTAGCGGCAGGGGACCCTGCAGCTCCCAGCCAAGGCTGCCTGAAGTCACGGAGGTCACGGAAGTCACGGAATCCATGACCTCCGTGACTAAATCACAGCTTTAGTGATAGGTAACCCAGTGTGGTACTAGGTGGTGTCATCTTTCAAGAAACCTAGGCCCTGACTACCTGTGCTCACTAACCATCCCGTGGCTCTATTTTCAGGAGTACGATGTTACTTCCAGTAACATGGCCAAATGCAGACTCTAGGAATTATCTTCCGCCTGCATATAACTCCCCTGTAGTTTCAGGATGTGTCTTCACTGCACAGTCAACACGGGCTCTTACCTGGGTTGTAGGCCAACCTCCCTCCCATCCACACAGAAACTCTCTGACCTGGGTTTGTAGGTACTGTAAGACCAGGCTAGCTGACCCAACTGGAGTGGGTGGGGGAGGATTAGAACCCATGCTTTGCTTTCACTCTGGCTACAACCCAGGACCTAGGCTAAATTACTCAAGTGTTAATAGTCCTCCAGTACCTCCCACAGTTCCCCAGGAGGTATAGACAAGATTTCCTGCAATTGACAGAATGGACTAGGAAACAATTCCAGAGCATCTCAGTACACAGAACCATGGGCTATGCCCCCAGACACACACAAGCAAGAGGAGAAACAGTGAGGACACAGTAACAGGGATAGGGCTTTGCAGGGTGGCTTCTCACATCCAGGCTAGGCAACCCTGGTGCTAGTCGTCCCCGTTCACTGGGCAGTGAAGAGACACCTTTAGTTAGATACTATGTTCTTTAATGCCTGCTCTCCACTATTGTGTACTGTTGCTGTGTGCTGTTAAACAGCTGCTGAGTTCAACCCCAGATGTGGCTGCATTTCCATGGGAGAGGTTATCCATATTCATATGTCTGTGTGTAATTATGGCCCATAAAGTACTTTGGGATCTATATAACTGTGAGGATTGATTGGAGAATTAACACACTAGAGGTCCACTTGATCTCATTGAAAATTTCATAGGTGCTTGTCAAGAGCACAGAAACAGCTATTTGGAGCGTCTGGGCTTGGTCTCACTGATGTTTTCTCTCTCTGTAGCTGGCTGTATAGAATTCTACCCTCTGTCTGTCACAAGCCCTTTAAACCCATGGATCAGGGCCACCTGACACACAACTGGGATGAAGCGGAAGCTGACCCCAACCAGGTAACCAGATCTGAAGAGAGGGAACATCAGTATATGGAAACTCTATGACTGTGTTCATTGCAGCCCCACCATGCCTAAGGCACAATGGGAACTGCACTTTTAAAATGTTTATTAGCATGAATCCAGCACTGAAATAAAGACAAATGTGTCTTATTAAAATCCCAAAGACACATTTTGATTCTGACAATACTAATAACAACAGATAGCTGCTCTTCCTTAGTCTCTTCCATCCAAAGATCTCCATGCGCTCTACAAACAGTACTCAATCCTCCCAACACCCCAGGCAGAAGAGTAAATATTCGTATCCCCATTTTATAGATAGGGAAGCTAAGGCACCAAGCAGTTAAGTGACTTGACCAGTCAGTCACACAGTGAGTCCCTGTGACTAGGGCCCAAGAATCCTGACTCCCAGCCCTGTGCTTCAACCACTAGAGCGTGCTTCTTCACATACATGTTAGCAAATTGGGTGCTACCCTTGGTCTCTTGGCTGGTAATTAGCACAGCCCTTGTAATCACCGAATTTGGGCAGTGCTCTCTCCAGGCTTTCCCCAAGCCACAGTCCCATGCTTGCCACCTCTGCTGCTGCACCTTCTCAGCAGGGCCGGATTAACCTTTTGCGGGTCCGGTGCCAAACATATTTGTGGGCCCCCATGGGGCCAATGGAGCATGGCACGGGGAGGTCAGTCCCTGGAGTGAAGGGCCAGCCAGAGGCAATGGGGCATGGCATGGCAGGGGCAGCCCCGCTCTGCCCAGCCCCGTCCAAGAGTACTGTTTACAAACCAGCAGTTGCCAGATGCACACTGGCCCACCAGGCCTTGTGCTGCCAGCGTGCCCCTTTCCCTCGAGGATAGGCCCATGCTGCGCCACACAGTCCCCCCGATTCTCTATGGCCTGCACCCCCCAGACTTATTATGCCCAGTGCCCCCCCACTGACTCCTCCACTACAACTGCCCAGCACCCCACACAGAACCCCCACTTCCTAGCACCCCAACACACACAGACTTCCCCCATCACCCAGCGCCCACCCAACAGACCCCCCCATTGCCTAGCACCCAAAACATACACACCTACCACTGCCCAGTGCCCTTGCCCATCACAGCCCCTCACTCCCCACTAGGGTTGCCAATTTTGGTTGGATGTGATCCTGGAGATTTAATCACATGACATAATCCATAATTCCTGGAGACTACAGGCCAATCCTGGAGGGTTGGCAGCCCTACTCCCCGCAGGCCCCCCCAGAGACCCACTCCCCAGTGCAGAGCAGGGATCCCCCCTCCCAGCACAGTACTAGGGAGCAGGACAGCTGAAGCTCAGGAGTGGCTCCATCTCCCGGGGCCCCACCCAACCCTGCCTGCCTGATTGCAGGAGCGGGTGGGGGAGGGCAGCCACCGACTTCTCCAGCCCACCACTTCTGCAGAGCAGTAGAGAGAGGCGGGCCCCACCCCTGGGGAGCCCAAAGGGGATGGTCACTGGCCCGGAGCAGCAGAGACTGAGGGCTCTTCAGGCCGTCAGCGGCTGGCCAGTGATGGGGGTGGAGAGGAGCCCTCAGCCAGCAGGCCAGTGAGAAGAGCTAGCAGTGTGTGGGGGAAGGGGCAGAGAGGAGCCAGCAGCTCAGGGCTCAGTGCAAGTGGAGTGGGCCAGGCCGGGGCCCCTTTTGAACGTGGGTCTGGTCCCATGGTGCTGCTGGTGCCATTGTAAACCCAGTACTGCTTCTCAGTTTTCCCAGTCCAAAGGTCGTCTGACTCCCACCCAGCAGGCAGAGGAGCAGATAGTCCCCACAAGCATTCCCTCCGCTTGTTTTTGGAGATGTTACTCCCTTTCCGTGTGTTTCTCCTCAGCCCTCCTTGGAAATCAGGTTTTGTTCTAGAGAGTCATGCAGAGGGATTGCATTTGTCCTCCTCTTTTATGGCCTTGCCATCATCTTTAATCATGATTTCCTCTCCCCATCAGCCACACAGCATTTAGTTTTGCTAATCTGCCTCATTCCTCATGCCATCCTTCCCTCTCTGTGTTCTTGTATTTATTGGCTCTAGCTTCTCTCAGGTTTTATCCTTGATGCATCATCATTAGCTAATTTCCAGCCATCCGGTGGCCCCATTATTTATCTCAATATTCTCCCAGTTGTGCTGAAATATGTTTTCCAGTTACTGTGACAGGATCATATTCGTGTGTCTTTGTCTGACGCTCCTTCCTAGCTGATGTTTTGATGGTTTCTATTATAGCCTCATCCATCCCTGATCCCCTTTCACAAACAGAACTTAAGTTGATGATTATTTATTATTATAGGTATCTCTATGGTACCCATCCCAGAAGTATCTGGAGCTATTTATTTACATTACATCGGTTCCCTGAAGGAAGAGTGACAAAACTGCCATCCCCTTAAAGCCACCATAATCAAATCTAGGAGGATAATTTCCTAGAGCTCAGAGGGAGGAACCATTTTTCAACGACATCATAGGAGAACGAGAGGAGATTCAGTTTCTCTGACAAGGAGAATGTCTTGCTATCACTATGGTGTTTTCTATAGCACCCATAGTGAAATTAAACAGAAATTTAAAGGTACAGTGACTTGAGTGAAATCCCTGCAAGCTGCATGGACACTTTTCAAAAACACCATAATAGAGGCTCAACTTAAATGTATACCCCAAATTAAAAAACACAGTAAAAGAACTAAACAAGAGCCACCGTGGCTTAACAACCATGTAAAAGAAGCAGTGAGAGATAAATAGGCATCTTTTAAAAAGTGGAAGTCAAATCCTAGTGAGGTAAATAGAAAGGAGCATAAACACTGCCAAATTAAATGTAAAAATGTAATAAGAAAAGCCAAAAAGGAGTTTGAAGAACAGCTAGCCAAAAACTCAAAAGGTAATAACAAAATGTTTTTTAAGTGCGTCAGAAGCAGGAAGCTTGCTAAACAATCAGTGGGCCCCCTGGACGATCGAGATGCAAAAGGAGCACTTAAAGACGATAGAAACTAAATGAATTCTTTGCTTCAGTCTTCACGGCTGAGGATGTTAGGGAAATTCCCAAACCTGAGCCGTCTTTTGTAAGTGACAAATCTGAGGAATTGTCACAGATTGAAGTGTCGCTAGAGGAGGTTTTGGAATTAATTGAGAAACTTAACAGTAACAAGTCACCGGAACCAGATGGCATTTACCCAAGAGTTCTGAAATAACTCAAATGTGAAATTGCGGAACTATTAACTATGGTTTGTAACTTGTCCTTTAAATCAGCTTCTGTACTTAATGACTGGAAGATAGCTAATGTAACGCCAATATTTAAGAAGGGCTCTAGAGGTGACCCTGGCAATTACAGACCGGTAAGTCTAATATCAGTACCGGGCAAATCAGTTCAAACAATAGTAAAGAATAAAATGGTCAGACACCTAGAAGAACATAAATTGTTGCGCAAAAGTCAACATGGTTTCTGTAAAGGGAGATCATGTCTTACTAATCTATTAGAGTTCTTTGAGGGGGTCAACAGACATGTGGGACAAGGGGGATCCAGTGGACATAGTGTACTTAGATTTCCAGAAAGTCTTTGACAAGGTCCCTCACCAAAGGCTCTTACGTAAATTAAGTTGTCATGGGATAAGAGGGAAAATCTTTTCATGGATTGAGAACCGGTTAAAAGACCGGGAACAAAGGGTAGGAATAAATGGTAAATTTTCAGAATGGAGAGGGGTAACTAGTGGTGTTCCCCAAGGGTCAGTCCTAGGACCAATCCTATTCCACTTATTCATAAATGGTCTGAAGAAAGGGGTAAACAGTGAGGTGGCAAAGTTTGCAGATGATACTAAACTGCTCAAGATAGTTAAGATCAAAGCAGACTGTGAAGAACTTCAAAAAAAATCTCACAAAACTAAGTGACTGGGCAACAAAATGGCAAATGAGATTTCATGTGGATAAACGTAAAGTAATGCACATTGGAAAAAATAACCCCAACTATACATACAATATGATGGGGGCTAATTTAGGTACAACTAATTGGGAGAAAGATCTTGGAGTCATCATTGATAGTTCTCTAAAGACGTCCAAGCAGTGTGCAGCTGCAGTCAAAAAAGCAAACTGGATGTTAGGACTCATATAAAAAGGGATAGAGAATAAGACAGAGAATATCTTATTTCCCTTATATAAATCTATGGTATGCCCACATCCTGAATACTGCCTACAGATGTGGTCCCCTCATCTCAAAAAAGATATACTGGCATTAGAAAAGGTTCAGAAAAGGGCAACTAAAATGATTAGGGGTTAGGAACGGGTCCCATATAAGGAGAGATTAAAGAGGCTAGGACTTTTCAGCTTGGAAAAGAGGAGACTAAGGGGGGATATGATAGAGCAGGGGTGGGCAAACTTTTTGGGCCGAGGGCCATATCTCGGTGGGGAAATTGTTTGCAAGGCCGGGGCAGGGAGTTGGTGTGCGGGAGGGAGTGTGGGGTGTGGGAGAGGGTATGGTGTGCAGGAACAGGCTCAGGGCAAGGGATTGGGGCAGAGGAGGGGTGTGGGGTGCATGAGAGGGCTCAGGGAAGGGGGTTGGGGTGCAGGAGGGGTGCGGAGTGCAGGAGGGGGCTCGGCAGGGGTTCAGGAGGGGTGCGGACTGGGGGAGGGAGCCCAGGGCAGGACGTTGGGGGGCAGGAGGGGGGCAGGGTGTGACGGGGCTCAGGGCAGGGAGTTGGGGTGCAGGAGGGGCGTGGGGTGCGGCAGGGGGCTCAGGGCAGGGGGTTCAGATGCATGGGGGTGCAGGACGCAGCAGGGGGCTCAGAGCAGGGAGTTGGGATGCAGGAGGGGTGCAAGGTGCAGGCAAGGGGCTTAGGGCAGAGAGTTGGGGGGTGGGGTGCAGGAGGGGTTCAGGGTGCAGGCTCCCGCCCGGTGCCGCTTACCTAAAGTGGGGTGCTCTGGGGTGGCAGCGGCGCACATTGGGGCCAGGACAGGCTCCCTGCATGCCTGCTCTGGCCCCATGCCGCTCCAGTCTGGGAAGTGGCCAGCACCACAACCCTGCGTGGCCCCTGGGGGACGGGGGTGGCACAGGGCTCCGTGCGCTGCCCTTGCCATGCCTCCAGGTACTTTCCCCGAAGCTCCCATTGGCCGTGGTTCCCCATTCCCAGCCAATAGGAGCTGTGGGAGGCGGTGCCTGGAGGCAAGGGCAACGCCTGGAGCCCTCTGCCCCCGCCCATCCCGGGGCCCCAGGGACAGGGTGCCGGCCGCTTCTGAGAGCAGCGCGGGGCCTGCGGCACCACGTGGGGCAATTCCGCAGGCCGGATCCAAAGCCCTGAGGGGCCGGATCCGACCCGCGAACCATAGTTTGCACACCCCTGTGATAGAAGTATATAACATCAGAGTGGTGTGGAGAAAGTGAATAAGGAAAAGTTATTTACTTGTTCCCATAATATAAGAACTAGGGGGCACAAAATGAAATGAATGGGCAGCAGGTTTTAAACAAATAAGAGGAAGTTCTTCTTCACACAGCGTACAGTCAACCTGTGGAACTCCTTGCCTGAGGAGGTTGTGAAGGCTAGGACTATAACAGGGTTTAAAAGAGAACTGGATAAATTCATGGATGTTAAGTCCATTAATGGCTATTAGCCAGGATGGGTAAGGAATGGTGTCCCCAGCCTCTGTTTGTCAGAGGGTGGAGATGGATGGCAGGAGAGAGATCACTAGATCATTACCTGTTAGGTTCACTCCCTCTGGGGCACCTGGCATTGGCCACAGTCAGTAGACAGGATACTGGGCTGGATGGACCTTTGGTCTGACCCAGTATGGCTTATGTTCTTACCCATCACTTTAGTACCTAAGCACCTCTGGAAGCACTCCAGCTAACTGTACCAAGGGCCTTTGGGTACTGGGAATCAGAGACCAATAGGTGCCACCATTCCTTTGCTTTCTCAGGCTCCGATATCTGAGCTGGGAATATAGCCATGATCAGTGAGTTAGTTGCCAGAATCTATTGGTCATAGACACCACAAGGCCAGCGTGTTGTTTGTCTGGGTGCTCACAGCCTGCCAGTACAATTGATCTTAGGTTTGGCCCCAGGGCTTGCACAGTTCACTTCAGTTTTCTGTGTAATCTTTTATTTATATATTTATCCATTTATAAGGAGCCCACAGTGAGTCATCTAAGGACCTGATCCAAAGTCCATTGAAGTCAATGGAAGGTTTTCCCTTGACTTTCATGAGCTTTGGATCAGGACCCAGCACAATAAAACCCAGACATAACAAAGAATCACCCAGTTGTTTGAATACAACTCAAAGCCAGGCGGTAGCCTAACATCTAGCACAGGGTGTCAAACTCCTTTGGAGGAGGGAGCTGAATTCTGTGTTTCATTATGGTCCATAGGCTGGGCTATAAATTTCAGGATGTTCTACTCCCCTCGTTCCAAGGTGGACCTCCCACTAATTTCAGTGGAGGTTTGCACCGATATCAAGGGGAGAATACAGCCTTTAGGTGGGAGCTAAACATTATTATTTACTCAGTAACTTGTCACATTCAGTATCACTCAGTGAGAAAATCTGCTCTCCTTTAAGCCACCTATATTTCTGCCCTTTGTTCTTTCCCTTTCCCATCTCTCTTTCTCCCCCTCTCCTCTGTTTTGTGTCTCTTCTCTGTTCTTCCGTCTGCATTCCCTTGCCTGCAGTGACTGTCAGTTCCCAGCCATCAAGAGCTTAAACTGATCAGCAGTGGACACTTGAAATTGTCACACTGTTGCCACTGAAGTATCATCATTGCCCTTTAGAATTGTCACTCCCAATGAGATGAATAGGGGACAGGGAAGTTCACACCTCTGAGTCATTGCTCCAGGCTGTCTGCAGACTCAGGCAGACATGTCATCACTTTGCATTTACACTAGGTTCACATTTAGGAGGTTAGTGCTGAAGCAATGAGGCCTAGCCACTTCTATATTTTAAAAAATGAAAGCTTAGAGTGTCCATAACCTAATTGTTTCATGCTGGTCATAGGAATACATCACGAGGGCCACATCTGGTCTGCAGACCATATGTTTAACACCCTGACCTAAACTGGTAGCTCCTTCAGAAATCTCTCCCTCTCTGACATCTAAATATCTCCTCCCCCAGAGGCCCCCTTTTTTGAGCAGCCAAAGTCTTTTTGTGTGGAGAGCCCCTTGGGATGTTGCTGCATGGCAACAAACATGCAGAAGGTTCATCCAGATGCTCCCAAGGAAGAGCATTGTATCCAATGGCCTGGGCTACTGTATCACTCATAGCTCCCAACCTCAGTCAGCTGTTGCATTGTGTGTTGATCCCTTGCCAGTTTGGTCTGTTAGCTCACTCTGCCTTGCTTGTGTATCGTATCTATTGTTATTATGACTATTATTAATAATAAATAACCCTTTGCTCTTATCCAACCCCTTCTGTCACTGGATCTCAAAGTATTAATGAGATAAGCCCTATCCCTTTTGTAAAGCAGATAATTATCATCCTCATTTCATGGATGGGGGAACAAAGGCACAGAGCTAGGTAGTGGGTTGCTTAAGGTCAGACAGGCAGCCTGTGAACCTGGACCTTCTAACTTTGAGCTCTGTGTTTTAAACACTAGACCATCCTTTCTCCCCTGTATATCAGTCTATCCACACTCTCTTTAAACTGCCCCTGCCACTTAAAAAGTATCAGACTTATTTAGTACAAGAGAAAGGCAATTCATAATTATTTCACTCAAATCTTTTTCATTTATACTTTCTTGATCCATTTGATTACCTTTTAAAAAAATTAATATCCTGTAGCACAAAGACATACAACACTTACTTCCCTGTGTTCAGTTGGAGACTCTGCCAGGAGCAAGAGCTACCCGGCTGACCCGACCTGGCTGCCCATGCCAGGGCTTGAACTGCAGGACTTCTTTGTAAGCAGATGGCTTCAGAGAACAGAGCAATTATCTGCCAATAGCAGTGCCAAGCCTGGTGTGCAGCTGATTAATAAGTGATGAACTCCTGCACTGTTTCACTCAGAGGTGCATCTGGCGTGGCCCAGCACACCGCCACTTTCTTTTCCTCTTAAGGTTAATCTTCAAGGAGACTCTGACAAGTCATTTAGGCTCAAAAATTAGATTATGGTTTATTTTTAACTGTTACAAAATGATTTACATGATTTAAAAAGAACTGTCAGCAGAGAGCCTGACTCTTCCCTCAGATCCACCAGTGTTAATCAGGAATAACTCCATTAAAACCCAGACACTTACATTGGAGTAAACTTGGAGTACATGCCCAGGAGTCTCAGCGGGCATGTAGTGGGGTGGCTACCCTGAGCCACCACCCATGATACCCCAGCTACACTGCTATTTTTACTGTGCTAGCTTGAGCAGAGCTGGCTCAGGTACAGTTATGCTGGCTGGGAATCACACTTCCCAGCTCAAGTGTAGCTATATCTTCAGTGTCACTGAGATCACAATTGGGGCCCAAAGCTTTATGGTTGTTGTAGAGGTTTTATTTAATTGAAACCTGTCTCCGCAGTGTTAGAAGCCTTGGCTCGTGCCGCAGAAACAGCAAGCGAAATTGACTGCCATTCCAAATAATATATACTTCTCAAGCACCTTTTATGTGAGCAACTCCACAACTTTACCAACAGCAGTTATCTGAGCCCGCAGCCCCCCGTCTAACAGGTGGGGAAACTGAGGCACAGAGAACAGACATGAGTAGCCGAAGGGTCATGCAACAAGTGAATGGTTGCAAGCTGAGCAGAGCACAAAATGACACAAACAGCATCAGTGGTGACGAGTCAGTTAATCTGAAATTATTTGCATGTCAGGTGGTGTTAGTAACACAGAGAAGGACAGTTTCTAAATAGGAATTTCAAGCTTGGCAGCTCCCAGGTCAGAAAACTGGTTTGCAAAATAATATTTTTAAAATCTCCTGCGAAGAAGAAAACCCCGAAAATACCCAGCAGAGGGCAGGGTGAGGGCATGGAGGCCTCTCTGTTCTTTTTAGCTAGCATTGTTCATATTATAATGGCTGGCATTTCCTTCCTCACTTTGTGTTTGCTTGATTCCAGCTGAGATGGAAGCCTTTTGAGATCCCCAGAGCCTCTGAAAAAAAGCTGGACTTTGTGAGCGTAAGTCAAGCAGCTGGAGCCTCCCAGGCCATTTTCCTTCTTTATAGGGTTTAGTAGAGCAGATAGCAATAATGTGCAGTTTACAGAGGGGGAAACTGAGGCACAGAGCGGCCTACTGACTTGCCCAAGATCACACAGTGAGTCAAAGGCAGGGCTAGGAATAGAACCCAGGAGTCCTGCTCTTACTACGAGACTGTACACTGGCAATAAACAGAGTCTGGGTAAAGAGCAGTCAAGCCTCGCATATAGTGTTTTGGTACTGAAAAGTCGGAAGGGCTTTTTGCAGCCGTAGCTCCCTAACTGAAATCAACCAGGCCACTCAAAGCCAGAATTCCCTACCCTCCCAAGCTGGGTCTGACGCCTGAACTACTGAGTGAGAGATTCGCTGCTCCCTTGGGATAATCAGAGGAGTTCACTCCAGCTGAGCCCAGCCCCATTCCCCTTACGAGCTCCCTGGCAAATGCTGTGAGGAGGACAGACACCCGGGGTAGCTCATCTCCTCAGGGAGAGGCTTTTCCCCACTCCCTACCAGTGACTATTGAGCTGGGTCTGTGCCTTCTGCCATGGTTTTCGAAGCCCCCCCTTTACTGGGCTTTAGAGAAGCTTTGTGCGCTGTTAGCCACTGGCCTGCTGCTCTGCTGCATATTCAGCTTTGAGAGGTCTCCAAGGATCAGGGTCATTTTAAACAACGGCAAACAACAGTCATGGAGAGACAGGGAGCCCAGCCAGCAGAGGTGGGATCTGCGAGGAAGGAGGGAGTCCAGCCAGGGGGCACAGCCCCATCGAAGGGGATGGAGGGATCTTGTCTCCATCCAGCTACTGGCTGCTCTTTCTAACTCAGTGTGTTTGTCTCCTAGGGTTTGCACACATTGTGTGGAGCTGGGGAGCCCAAGTCACGGAATGGGATTGCCATCCACATCTTCACCTGTAACACCTCTATGATTAATAGGTCAGTGACTATTAGATTTGAGGTCCAGGTTTTCCAGGGCTGGTAGTTTGCAAGTGTGAGACTTTGTCTACACTAGCATTTTTGTTGGCAAAACTTTTGTCAGTCAAGGGAGTGAAAAAAACCACACCCCTGACCAACATAAGTTTCACCGACAAAAGTGCTGGTGTGGACAGCGTAATGTTGGCGGGAGACAGTCTCCTGCTGACATAGCTACCGCTGCTCATTGGGGGTGGTTTAACTATGCCGACGGCAGAGCTCTCGCCCACCAGCAAAGAGCGGCTACACGTGAGACCTTACAACGGCACAGCTGTAGTGGTGCGGCTGTAAGGTTTGTAGTGTAGACGCAGCCTTAGTGTTAGTTTGCAACCATCCCGATAGCATCTGTAATTCATTGCAAATGCTCTCTGAGAGCACAGACCACATAGCAACTATTTTGCAAATAACAATGCCTAGATATCCCCTAAATTCACGTGCACTCCACAAAAGTACTTAGATACTATGGTGATGGGTGGTATAGAAAACCCTAACAGATTGCACTCCCTTGGGTAAACATCGTACAAAGAGATGGGATGCACATTGATCAGCAGGGAGGTGGGAATGGTGAAGGGTTGGGGCTGCAGAGATAAGAGGGGCTTTTCTGCAGGGTTCATAGATCCTTATCCCACAGACCAAGCTCACCCTTGGAGGTCAATAATACATAGTATCACACCTGACAGACGTTAACAGTTTCTCACAACAATTCTGTCAGGTGAGTCAGCATCATAATCTCCATTTTACAGATGGGGAAATGGAGGCTCAGAGTGGGGAAGTGATTTGCCCAAGGTCACGGAGGAAGGACGTTAGCAGAGGCAGGACTAGTCCTCAGGAGTTCCTAGTCCTGCGCTTTGTGCATTAGATCATCCTGCCTCCTGCGTGCCTCTATGTGCTGAGGCTCCACCAACCCTGTGAATGGGGCTCCCAAGGTTGCCTCTGTTGGCATCACTGACACTCTACCTGCTCAAGAGACCCTCCTATTACAGCCTGTAGTATGTGTGCGCCTGTGCTCCTTTTTCTTTAGGTGCTTTTACAATTCAGATGGAGACTTCCTGATTGGTGAGTTACTGATGCGACTTCTGTTTCCCCCCATCATTGCTAATCTCTGTTGCCATCTGCCCTCCTCTCTGTTTCTCCCAACACCTGGTTCGTTCTTCCTGCTGGGAAGGTTTGGACTGGTGGTCGGTGAGAAACATCACTCCTGGACCATCCAAAATTAGGTGGTTTGGTAACGGTTAAGTTGCCTACCACATTCGGCTTCTCTCTCTCAGTCCAGGATTGTAAGTCTCTTTTTTTAACAGGACCCTGATTCCTTGGCTAGCTAGTCAGTGTCCGGTTCCTAGTGCTCTGCATCTGTAATGCTATTGTGGGAATCCTATTAGGCATGTCACAAAAGTCCTTGAGGTTTTCTGGAAACTATAAACCCTGGGATTGATAGACCGCTCACAGCTTTGCTTCAGTCCAAGACTAGTGAGTCTTTGACAGGGGATCTGTGTTCCTGAGTTCCACCAGGCTGGGGTGTCCAAACTTGCAACAATAAGTGTGGCATTGGAACTTGAAATGCATGCACATTTAAATATTTTATTTCACCAAAAATAAATGCATGTGACCCTGATATTTGTTTGTATCTTTCTTGATTGATGAATAGAAACGACTTGGTGACTGAACTCATTCATCAGCAAAAACCCCAAAATACCAAACTGCGGTTCCTCTGCTCTCTCCCCACCATGAGGTGAAAGGGAGAGGGCCCGAGTAGGGCATACTGCATGACTTCACAGGCCTTCCGGTTATGGTGCGGGCCCTCCTGGGCCAGTACATTCAAGAGAACGAATGCAAATGTTAACTAAAGACCATTAGCCCCCGCTCTAGTCGAGTGGAGAGTTAACCATACTTGGCCTCTGCTGTGTATCAAAGAAGTGAAGGGGTAACCACATGGAAAGCAGGATCCTGTAGCTCTTGGAGACACAGTTTGCATCTTTGGTGAAGGGGAGAGGCTCCTCACATGAAAGAATGTGTTGAGTAATCCCCCGAACCACTGCCCTGAGGTATAGTGCAATAGTAACCTCTCCCCCTTTCTTTGTATTCTCAGAGTTCAGAAGTTTGGACTCACTGCCACTCAATAATTAATTTATTCTCCTAGTGGCATAGGTGCAAGGGAAGAGGAACTGACTGGCTGGCTCTGGGGATTGGCATACAGAGCCTTTTGCATCTAGGTCTCTAGTTTAAATCCATCCTCGGCTGCTAGGCCCAGATCCTCAAAGATGTTTAGGCACCTTGCTTCCTTTGGTTTCAGTGGGAGTTAGGTTCCTAAATATTTTTGAGGAGCTGGGCCCTAGTAACTGAACACTGCTCCCATCTAATGGCTCTTCACTGGCCCTTAGGTGAAATGAATCTGAGGAACTCAGGCCAGTTCTTAGTGGATATACAAATCAATCACAGCTGTCATTAACTGGACTTCTTGCTAGTTTAACCTGAGACCAAGTACTGAATGGCTCAAGAAGGCTGAATTTGTATCTTACCTCTCAAGATGAAAGGTTGGCTGGAGAGCAGTGAGAAGCACAGTTGCACTACTGTGGCCTGCTCTGAGGATACAGAGTGGTCAGTCTGGCATCATTCATCAGCAGTTGCTTCTTTGAACAACAAAAGAACGTGTTTCTGTGTTTTTTTCTGCCTGAGCGATTTGTTCGCCTGTAACACTGGTCTGCTTCTGTTTGCTGCTTACACACAACATTTCTCCCTAGGCCACAGTGTGAGGGTGATGGTGGGGTCAGGAAGGACAGAGAGCATCTGCAGCTAAGAGAAGCAAGAGCCTTCCTAGGAGGCTGGTAGCATACTGGGGGGAAGAATGAATTTGCAGATTGAAGCTTATAAACCGTGACTTTTGGTGACAGGAAAACCCTCGGGTTCCTCAGTGTCTGCTGCTTATGTTTCCTTCCCACAGTGCCACAGCAAGGGAAGCTGCTCATCACCACCGAGTTTGGCAAATTGCTGGTGGAGCCCAATGAGATCTGTGTCATTCAGGTGAGGACTAGGCAGGATTCCACCTCCTGCTGGCTTATTTTTGGAGGGAACCTCCGAAAGCATGCTGCTGACATTGAAACAGTGAGTTTTGCTCGACCTCAGTCGAACCCCAGAGAGCTGGACTAACCCAGGGGGCCTTAAACTTTGCTCAGCAGAGGCTGCATTAGGAACTTGCCACGAACCCCTGGGCTGACCTAATTTGTGTACAGTGCACCAGTCACAGCCACCCTAATTTTTAATAGAAAAGCATACAGTGTGGCATGGGCTGCTTGAATCCAGTTTGAGCATGGCATGCTGGGATATGTAGGCTCAGCAAGCCATGCCACCATGTTCAACTTGAGGGCAGCCCTGGGGGGCACCCTGTAGAAGTCAGTTGGCTGCATTTGGCCCACAAGCCGCACATTGGCCACCTCTGCATGAATCTTTTGTGGGCTGTAACAACCATCTTGAGCTGCTCTTGGTATCTACTTTTATTTTTTCCTTCCTAGCAAGGGATGCGTTTCAGTGTGGAGGTGTTTGGAGAAACCAGGGGCTACGTCCTGGAGGTGTATGGCGCGCATTTCGAGCTACCTGACCTGGGACCCATCGGTAAAGATTCATCATCAAGTTTACAATGGGTTCTGTGGGGCCAGAGTGCTACAAGAGCAAGGGACTGAGAGCCAAAATCCATTCCTCCTTTCTCCTCAGGCTTTCCATTCACATGGGATACAGAAGGCCAGGTCCATCCTCTTCTTGTAGCAAACTCCCTTTTACGACATAGGAAGGCTTAAAATTTCAGAGACCTCTCTGCTAAGAATGAATTGGAAGCCTCAGTATGAGACGCTCAATAGGAATCCTGGAGATGCTCTTCAGTTGCTCCCTGACAAATGGACACTATCATTTCACAGAGTAGCCCCCATTCCCAACAAAAAACTTGGAAGGCCATTAATTCTCTGATCCCCCAGGAGTAGAGAAAGGGATCTTTCCCCCCACCAAAATGCCCTCTCCTGTGTGATGTGTGCTCTGCAGATCCTTCACCTTGCTCACTGCTTGCTCTGGAGTTCTGTGGACCTGTGGAATGAGATTATAAGAGTGATTTTTCGGCACCCTTAGCTGTAGCACTCCAGCCAGGATACAGCGATTTCATGTCGTTACAGTCAATGCCTGTTTCATATGATTATTTATACTATTTTGCCTATGTATTTGTAACAAGTTTTTTCATTAGTTAGCTTTTTTCAGAGACACTTTTGGAATTCTTGAGTCTCCAAGAAGGGAGAAATCTATTCTAACGTTCACTTTTTGAAGAAAAGAAAATGACTGTACTTGCCTGCAATCCTTCTTTTCAGGAGGTAGCAATTATAGGAGATCCTCTCCCTACCAGCCACCCCACTTCGCCCCAGAGATCATTTATATTTTATTCTTGTTTAACTTCACTTTTCACTTGAAAACTGACAGCTGGAGGAAAGTACTGACTGTTAAACCTCAGCAGCAGGTAGTAATGCCTGGCACGTTTATCCAAGGAAGTCAAAGTTCTTTGTAATAAAAAACAATAATAATCATGAGAAGAAGAAGAATGCTTAGCACTCATGTGGTGCTTTACACTTGAAAATGTTCTACAGACATTAACCAACTCTTACAAAACACCTAAAAGTGAATAAGTATCATTAGCCTCATTTTATTATTATTTTCCACACGTCCAGAAATGTGCTGGTGCCTGATGGCTTTCTAGAGATCTTTCCCCAAGGTTATACAACCAGTCAGTGACAGAGCCAAGAATAGAAAGTCCCTGATGTCTAATCCTCTTCTGCCACCCCAAGGTAACACTCCCCGACTATTGAGGGTGGGTAACAGTGTAGTAATCAGAGCTGTGAGAGTTGTCTGACTCCCATGATGGGAACATGGACTTAAGTGCCAGAGCGTGTACCAGTGACCCCTGTCTGAGAGTAAGGATTACAGGTAAATAGTTTTGTTGAGAACAATAAGCCTCTTTATGGAGTACAGTGAAGTGCCTCTAAAGTCATTCAAACTCCAAAAGTACACCGGTATAACCAGGGAAGGACAACAGTCCCCACTTTGTAAAGACATCACTCAGAATCTTGCTGCTTTTTTTTTTTCTACCCGAGGGGCCAATGGTCTGGCTAACCCACGAGATTTCTTAGTGCCAGTTGCCTGGTATGAAGATTGCCAAGTAGCAGGTGGCTACACAGTGATCAGCAAGTACCAGGGCAAGTTGTTTTCAGCCCAACAGGTAAGGAAATCAGAATCCTTTTCACAAAGACTGGATCACACTGAAGCTCTATTAGTTATAAGTGCACATTATAGGATGTACTATTTACCAACATGGAAAATAACTTTGGGGACCAATACTTCTCCCACTGAAGTCAGCGGCCAAACTCCCATTGAGTTAAATGAAAGCAGGATTGAGCCCGTTGTTTGTTGGCACATTTCTCCCTCCAGCTAAAATGCTCTCCGTCCATAGTAAATGTTTCTTAAAGAATTGTTTGACTCTGAAGTTAGTAAAAAGTTAGTGATTCTTTGCCTCTAGGTGATGATTTTTACCTCACTGCTTCCAAGTGCTATTCAGTGGCCTATGTGAAAAGACAGGAGTGTATTTCTGGGGGGGGGGGCATTGGTCTAATTTCTATTGGGCAGGTGTTCCTGTCACAAAAAATTACCATTACAACTATTTCCTTATGGGTGACGTCAGCAGTGAAGCCAAGGAGTAAATGGGCCTTGGACACCGAACTCCCCTCTCATCACTAGAAATGGGGCAGAGCTGAGGCCCATTGGCAGGGTATGGCGAGGAGGAATGTGCCCTGCCACTGCCCAGGCAGTACCTGTTCTATGGATACACAGGGGGCTTCGGCCTCCAGGCTGTCAACAGAGCACCATTTACTAACACTAAATGCATTTTGAATAACAGAGCAGTGCCCTGTATGTTAGCAGCATGTTGGAGAGTGCTGGGGATAATCTTCTGCTGCCTTTGTTCTTCTTGATTTGATAGGATTTCTCCCCATTCAATGTGGTGGCCTGGCATGGGAACTACACACCATACAAATACAATCTGGATAACTTTATGGTCATCAATTCTGTTGCTTTTGACCATGCGGTAAGTTCTAAGGCTGTCAATATAGGCATGTATGAGGTGGAGCAATGAAATTGGCGCCTATGAAATCTAAAACCATTGGGAGCTGTGGGTGCTCAACACCACTGAAAAACTAGGTCTCTTATTAGGAGCCTAAATATAGATTTAGGAGCATCACTGGGGTACCTACATTTGAAAATGTTGACCTAACTTCTCCAGTGCCACACAATGTATCAGTGGCAGAGATGGAAATAGAACCTGGGACACTCCTGTTGCCCAGTCTCCTGCCACACACTACCCCTCCTCTTCGTCTAGTCTTCTGCTTGCCACACCACAAGGCCAAAGTCTAATTCAGGCCAAATGTCTGTAAATCCTTGGAGTTGGGGACCAAATCCTGCAGTGGTGTAAATGTCAGTGTAAGTTGCACAGCAGGTAACTGGTGAATTAGAAAATGGATGTCAGTGGAAAGTCCGTGTAGCTTGCACCACATTGGCATCTCAAGCACCTGTGACGTTCAGTCTCTTTGAGAACATCTGGGAAAGCACTGAACAGGGCTGTGCAAGGCAAGACAGTTCCCACACAGAGTGGGTCCAATTCTCCAATCCACTACACTTGTTTTACATTGAAACACTGGGTGAAGCTGGTGAAACAGGCTGGGAACTCAGGCCTTACGTCAGGGAATCTTACACCCTCCTGGTTGTTGCTTTTCCTGTTATACCTTGAATACGTAAAGGGGGGAATATAAGTTACAGTCCTTTTCCACACCTGCTAAATTGATCAGACTTAGTCTAGATTACCACTTAGTCCTGATTTCTGACAGACTTACAGCAGGCATGTCACTGACAGCACTGTGTGTCCCTTCTGCGTTTGGACCACAGCTGTCTTTTGGTAAATTATATAGTTATTATTAATTACTATTATTATTTAACATTTCTGTTGTCGGAGTACTTGGAGTCTACAATCAGGTTGAACTCCATTGTGCTAGGCCCTATACAAACATATAAAAAATGCCAGTCCCAGTGCCAAAGAGCTTGTGCTCAAAAAGACAAGACATAACAGGTGGATGAGACAAACAAGCAGGCCAGGGTGGGGAAGACAGAGTAACAGCTATAATAGGATGAGCATAGTTCCAGACATCATTTGTGTCATCGGAAATCTGCTTCAATGGGTGTGGGTATGAAGATGTCCCAGGCAGGATTCTGACCTTTTAATTTGAACAGCCAGAGGAAGGAGATGGAAGTAGGTAATATGGGACACTGGGATAATATAGTCCCACAGGCATCCAATCACTGCTAGGAACTGATCCAGCGGGTAGTGTGGACGTACGCTCAGATTTCCAAACCAGTTATCAAGTGTAAACTGTTCAGTCACTATAATGAAGTGGTTCACAAAAGCTTATGCTCAAATAAATTTGTTAGTCTCGAAGGCGCCACAAGTACTCCTTTTCTTTTTGACAATTCTTTAAGTAACCCTCAGATGAATTTAATCAGATCTTGCCAACTTGAATACATCTAATGTATCTAAATATTTTTTTAACCTGTCCTTTCCCTATTTTGGCTTACATTTCTTCCTTCTGGTTGTTAATATTGTATTGAGTATCTGATCACTATTAACCTTTTTAGTGAAGACTGAAGCAAAACAGGCATTAAACACTTTGGGCTTCTTGATGTCATCAGTTATAAGCTCTCTTTCCCCCTACACTTTCCTTCGTCTTTCTCTTGCTCCTAATGTACTCAAAGAACTTCTTCTTATTGCCTTTTATGTCTCTTGCTAAATGTAACCCATTTTGGCCCTTCACCTTTCTGATGTTGTCCCCAACATGTCTGTGCTATTCTTTTGTTTTCATCCTTAGCAATTCATCCATGTTCCCACTTTTTGTAGGATTTCGTTTTGATTTTCAGATCATTAAAGAGTTCCTGATGGAGTCATATTGGTCTCTTTATTATTCTTCCTATCATTCCTTCACATCAGGATAGATTGCAGTTGTGTCTTTAATATTGTCTCGTTGAGAAACTTCCTAATTCCTCTTTCCCTGAGATTTTCTGCCCATGGGACCTTACCTGTCTTTCCTTATCATTTCTGATCTATCATTTCATGAACGCTTTCACCCAAATTGCCTTCCACCTTCAGATTCACAACCAATGTCTCCCTGTTGGTCAGAATCAAGTCTAAAATGGCTGTTCCCGGGGTTACTTCCTCCACTTCTGAAACAAAAAGTTGTCCCCCATACATTCTGGGAACTTATTGGGAATGTTGTGTTTTGCGATAGTAGGGTCACTCGGGGGAAAGGAGAGGAGCAGAGTTGTATGGTCTCCTCTGAAGCCAGCATTCCCTGCGGGATGAAGAAGTGCTGCAGCATTCTGGGCTCAGGACAGCCCCTCTTCCTCTCTGCAGTCAGTGCTGCAGTCATATGAGGGAATCAGCAGGACCCAGACAAGATGGTGGAAGGTCAGGGGTGGCAGAGTGCTTGTCATGGGAGAGACAAGAATTAGAGCTCTTCTAGGCCAGCCAAATAAGGAGGCATCTCCTTCCTCCTATGCCCAGAATGGGATCTGGTGCATGGGTGGCCTCACACCAGCCAAGAAATCCCACTCACCCTCCAAACCTCTTCTAAAATGCAGATGGTGAAAATGTTTCAGAGGGTGAGAGGCTGAATTGGCAGGTGTGGCTCACAGGATGCAGCTGAACTGACAGGTCTATGAACCTAGCCATGTTTTCTGATTTGCCATCCTGTTTTGTTTTGTTTTTTGTAGGACCCATCTATTTTCACTGTCTTGACAGCCAAGTCAACCCGACCTGGAGTGGCACTTGCTGACTTTGTCATCTTCCCACCCCGATGGGGGGTGGCTAACAACACCTTCCGGCCACCTTATTACCACAGTATGTCTGCCCTTACTCAGTTACCCTTGAGAAGTGGGTCGGGGGTGGGGGTCAAACAAACCATGCTTCCTGTTCTCCACAGGAGCCACAAGGAGAAAGATGGCTTTGCCTGCATCCTCTCACTCAGCTAACATGGGCCACTTGCAGCCAGCCAGTCTTTCTTGGGGCAGGAACCAAAGGAAAGCTGTCCCCATTTACAGCAACTGAGGACAACTGTACAGGAGGCGATATGGCTTGTGGTTACACACGTACATTTATTTGTATTAGAGAAGCACCTAGAGGCCCCACCAAGGTTGGGTCCCCATTGTAGTGGCACTGTGCAAATGCTTAGTAAGGGTATGTCTGCATTGCAAGCGAAGATGTGAGTGTAGCATGGGAAGGAAGACCCACACCAGCTTTCATCTAGGTAGAGCAGGTAACAGTAGTAGTTAGTAGTAAAGACATGGTGACCCAGGCTTCAGTGCAAGCTAGCTGCCTTAGTACAACCCCATGGGGGACCATGGATATGTATTCAGGTTGCTGGCCTAAACCGGAATCTGTGCCTCCATATCTTCCCAGCTATTTTTGGCTGCACTACCTAAATTAAAGCAAGCATGGGTGTACCTACCCAAGCTATAATTGCATGTTAATTTGCAGTGTAGACGTACTCTATAAATAGTCCCTGCCCGCCAATGCTTACCATCGCACCAGAGAAGAGAGACAAAGGATGGGAGAAAGCAAGTATTATTCCCATTTTATAGATGGGAAATTGAGGCACTGAGTGGTTAAGTGACTTCCTCAAGATCACACTGGAAGTCTGTGTCAGAACGGGCACTGGACTCTAGATCTTCTGAGCTCCTCTCCAGTGCCATAACCATAAGGCCATCCTTCTTCACCACTTCATGTGTATCTAGTTGGAAAGTGGTGCAGTTGTTACCCCAGCAATATCTGTGGCGCTTACAGGCAGAGATTTGGAACCAATGTCCTTCTCAGTCCTGTTCTTAGTGGCAGGTGACTACATCATGGAAGAAAAATAACCCTTTGCCACCATCACTGTCTGCTCCTTGTTGGTTGGCCCTGCTCTCGTTTCAAATAATGAAAGAAAGGGAAAACAGCTGGACGCCAATTATGCCAGGTCACTCAGAGTGTGTTTGAGAAACACTAAGTTCATATTTATAGGATTGTTTTTCACCTGTGGAATGATAGTGTCTAACCTGGCTGTCTGAACATATTACATTGGCTTAGGAAGCGCCCAGTCTTGCAAAATGCTGAGCATCTTCAAATCCCATTGAAATCTGTGGTGCTCAGCACCACTGTAGAGGGATAATGAGTTTAAGCAGTTCTTTCTCATACATTTTACATGGGATATAGTCTTTTACCTGTAGAACTGTTGTTGTCAGTTCTTGTGTCCTGTCAAAAACCTGCATTCAGAGAACATGAAGGCTGCACAGTTCGGTACTCAGATCATGAAGTGGCAAAGTTATGATTTCCCACACAACCTTAACTTTCTCCTATGTATGAATGCATACAGAGGCTTTTATTACATGGGCATACACAATTTCTCTGTCTTTGAAGGTATTTATATGACCCTCATCCCTGTAATATCCAAATGTCTGAGAATCAGGAATGTATGTGTCTTCCCAGCACCCCACTCAGAGAGGGAAGTGCTGTTTTCCCCATTTTACAGATAGGGAACTGAGGCACAGGGTGGAGTAAGTGACTTGCTTATGGTCACACAGGAAGTCTGTGGATGAGCCAAGAATTGAATCTGGGTCATTTCAAGTCCCAAACCCGTGTCCTAACTGCTAGGCCAGCCTTCCTATGATATAATATATTTTACAGCCTTAGCTACACCTATGTAACATCTTACACTTCTGTGTAATACCCTCCTAAATGCAGTTCATGAGCCATTTATATGAAAAATTTCTCAGTAAACCATTCATACACACGATACTGCAGATTAAGGATGAGTAGTAGTGAACATGTGCTTGCAGATATAGGCTACCTATATTTTTGCTAAAGTAGTTTTGTAATTGAATGCTTCATCCCCGAATTGCACTGAAGAAAGGATGCGCTGCTGATGCAAATGGAAATGTGAAGAATACAGCTACCACCATATGGCTTGAGCTTACAAAAATGTGTAGCCAAGCTCACTAACTAACTATACTGAGTAAACCCATTCGAGGTGAGTGGGTATGACAAGTGGTAGTTGTCTGCTGAACTGGGACTAAAATACATACTTTAGAGAGACGAGAACATACCTTAATGAGAATTCAAGAGCCAAATTCAGCAACCCTTATTCCAGAAGAGCTTACTGCGTTGCTTTCAGTGGGACTAGTGCTCATCATGAGTACTGGTGGCAAAATTTGGCCCATAACCATTAGAGAGAGATTGGACTTTTATGACCAAGAAAATAGAGTGATTATAAAAGAATGAAACAATGTCACAAGATGTTAGGGTACACAAGTGGCTCAGAGCTTGTACAAAAATGAGTAGCACTATGATCTAATCCATAAGGCACTGGAGTGGGCATCAGCAAGTCTGGATTCTGTTCCTGCCTCTGTCACCGGCCTACTGTGTGGCCTAAGACAAGTTACTTCAGATCTCTGTCTCAGTTTCCCCATCTCCAAAAGAGTGATACTAATACTGACCCTCCTTTATAAAGTGCTTTGCGGCCTATAAACAGTGCCTATAAACACGAAGTAGTATTATAGGCTTCTCTGCACAGTTTCAGTACCAATATAATTAAAGCAGTGCAACCCCCTAGTGTGGCCGCAGTAATACTGGTTTAAAGGTGCTTATATTGGTATACAGTATGAACTCCTTACCTACCTGCATCCAGCTGAGCAGGTTGTACTGCTTTGACTATATCGGTTTCTGAATCCATAGAAATGTAGGGGTACAAAACCTGCATGTAGAGCACCCCTAAGTGCACCACATACTGCATCACCGACACTACATCTTGCATCACTCCTGCATTTGTCTGGAGGTCACTCATCCAAATACTGAGCTGGTCCAGCCCTACTTAGTTCGTGATCTTCAAGGGGATGACCGCCACACCGCGATGACTGCAAACGGTGTTGCGTTGTAACATCAACTGTGTCTCCACTCCTCTAGGGAACTGTATGAGCGAGTTCATGGGGCTGATCCAAGGGCGCTATGAAGCGAAGGAAGAAGGGTTCCAGCCAGGAGGGGGCAGCCTGCACAGCATGATGACACCCCATGGGCCAGACGCTGAGTGTTTTGAGAAGGCAAGCAAAGCCAGGCTAGCGCCCGAGAGAGTTGCGGAAGGGACCATGGTAAGAGCCCTGCAGAGCATGTAAAATGACTGCCTGGCCAGGTAAACGCTCTAGCAGCAGCACAACCTGCTACCAACATGGGTCTCGGAAACGCAGCTCAGACCCTTGCTCTCCGGCTTGGATGTGTGCCCAGGGAGAGATTTGAAGAGCTGAACACCCAAAATTGGAACTGGATTTTCACAGGTGCTCAGCTCCCCCATTGTGACACAACATGCTGAGCTCTTTTGACAATCTGGCCACTTAATTTGGTGCTTAAAGGGGGAGCTGAGCTTTTTGGGAAATTCTGGCCTTCTGGAACAAAAGCACACTCCCCTCCACCCCCAGTTCCTCAGACCAGCCAAGGCCTAACAATGACTTGCTCTAGAAAATGGTCCTCCAGCAGGCCCTGTCCCAGATTTCTTGGATGGTCTTGATTTTCCAGGATGTTCCCAGGTTCCAAAATTCCTTTTGGGACCTGCCAAACACCAGCGTTGCCATGGTACATCTCCATGGGCATTATGGACACTTTTAGTGGTCTTAGTTGGAAGCTTTCTCCCCTTGACTGAGCAGATAGGAGTCATGCTAGGCTGGCCTCAGCTGGGAACCTCTCCAAACTGAGAAGCTAAGAGCTAGAGTCTGACCAACGCTGGACCTTTGGTGTGTTTTCTGTGTATACCTAATAAAGCATGATCACTATGCATGTATTCTCTCCTCTCCTTCCTGCCCTAATGTACTTGCTGTGGTTCCCAACAGGCCTTCATGTTCGAGTCCTCCTTCAGCATGGCTGTTACCACGTGGGGCCTCAAGACCTCCAACTGTCTAGATAAGACCTACTACAAGTGCTGGGAACTGCTGAAAAGCCATTTTAATCCTAGCTGCAAGTAAACAAAAGTGAACTGCTTGTGCGCGCTCAGACCTGTCACTCTGATGGGAAACAATCAATGATACCTACAGGGGCAAGGGCTGGCAAAGGAGCAAGCATCTGTCAGTGCAGCGAGCGCCATTGCACTGCAGCCATTCCAACAGTGATTGATTAAATGAATTACTCTTGCAAACCTGCGTATCTAGCCTTGAACCGCCCCCCCAGTTCCGAGCTTTCAAGTATCCAGTTAAAGTGTCAGAGCTGCAATGCCCATGCCTTGGGACTCCCCCAGCGGGTGTGGTGGGGTGAAATCTGTGCCTTGTACCGAAGTGAGAGAGTGGTAGACTTCCTCTCTCAGGACACTTATGAAAATATGACACGTTCTTCACAGGGGGGATGCTCAGGAGCAACAATTTATTAAACAATACTCAAGGAATGATCTTTCAGCGAGAGGGTAAGAATGAAGAATAGGAGTTAGAGGAACCAGCCAGGTCCAGTCTTAAATCCAGCAGACCTACTGCCAATCAAGGGAAGGTTACCCTTCCAATGACACATGGCCCAACCTTCAGCACCTACTAACGCATTATCCTTTCCCAGCAACTTTTGTCTGGGTTTGTCAGCACTCAGGATGGGATCCACAGAGCAACCTAGGCACATAAACCTCAGTTCTAGGCACCACTGTGGTGCACAAAACTCCTTGGCTGCTGCTGAACCCTGTAGGTGCCTAAACTCACTCAGTGTCTGAGTTTTTGCAGGCAAAGTTCCCTAGGCACATATGTATCTGCCACTGGGCCCGTGTTCTGCTGCCTCCCTCTAGGCATCTCTCTTGCCTAAGCTTCAGAGCAATTCATGAATTAGAGGAGGGATAAGTGTTTGGCCACCTAAATTGTGTGCGGGGTGTGACCAGGTAGGCATGCTCAGAGGCTGCCGAACTCCACCCAAAACAGGTGGAGGGGAGGGGGGAAGGAAAAAAGACAAGTTCCCTTAGCCTAGTGGTTAGGGTACTCACCCAGAATATGGGACACCCCAAATTCAAGCCCCTCCCCCCTTCATTGGATAAGGCTTTTAACATGCAGTGAATTGGTTATTACAACCTTGACTCCCCATTGCTTTGTGGGAAGGACCTTATAGCAGCTTAGCTTGATTCTTTACCAATTACTGGAGAACATGCAGACCAAACAAGTGCCCCCACAAGATGTTGCACCCATTTAACTAAATCTGTTTCTAAACCAATTCAGTTAAATCAGTACAATTTTCCTATGTAGACAAAGCCTGATTTGTTAAGTCCACTAGAGCAAGAGGAGAACCCAGGGCACATATCTGGGATTGAAACAGTTTAACAAGCCCCCTTGACAGCAATAATTTACACGCCTTACTTTGAGAAGGGGGGCATACACATATCACAACTTATTTGCCAGAAGAGGGAGAGAGAAATGTAAATGGTCTAGTGCGTAGAGCACAGGATTTGGCATCAGGACACCTACGGCTTTTGTTTGTTTAGTCACTGCCAACAATGAGCTTGACCCTGTGCAAGATGTTTGGTTAGAATATGTTTTGTACGTGCAGAGTATTATTACATAATATCCCCCATGCAGCACGTGTGCTAAAATAGAAAACTCAGAAAAGGCCGTTTACCAACAATCAACAATCAATTTGCCAGAAGGATTCAATTCACTGAACTAGCCCAGGGTGAAACGAAGGACTTGTCTACAGATGGATTTGTTCCAGATTAATTTTGAAAGTGGGTTAAGCCAGGAACAAGGCACTCTTGTTCTGGAATGAGTGTCCACACATGGCATTGTTCAGGAATCGCTACTGTACTTTAAATTCATACCCTCCCTTAATCAGCGTCAACTTTCAAGCATAGACACACCCTAAACCAAAATGCTCTAGGGACTGAATGGGAAGTTTTTGTTCTCTCATTGCGGGGCTAACCCATGAGAGCCACAGACTATTTACCTGCTTGAAACTCCCCTGCTATAGGCACATCTCTATCGCTGACACTGGAAGTTATGGGCACATTAGGCATGCAACAAGGTGTTTTTACACTTGCTCACTCTCCTCCCCAAATTTCTGATCGGAAATATCTTTTCTAATATCTCCACCTCAACTGCAGCCTGGCAACAACTCAAGCTCTGGCAGCACAATGTGCTCCTCACAAGGAACTGAAAAGGCAGCTTGGAGAACTCTGAAAATGAGAAAGAAACAACAGGCCAGTCTAGCTCCAAGCACCAAACTCCAGTTAATGGGGAGTAACCTCATTCCCTCTGAGCTATGCAGAGAGGGGCTAAGGCACGTGTATTAGCAAACCAATTGGAAATGCTCCCTCCTCAAGTGACCAGAGGCATCATATTCTTCTGTAACCCCTACTGAGCAATTTGTACAGCTGGCCTGAAACAAATACAGCTGCAAGGGAGAATTTACATGTGGCAACTGAAGGCCCAATTAGCTGAGGAAATGGGTCCTGAGAGATCATATCAGTTTGTGGCAGCAGGTGGTGGATCATTTAGCATGCTCAGACAAGCACTGTGGGCAAATCTTTCTTTCCCTAAATACCATTTTCTTCATGCATTCATACCTTTCCTTTCACTGACCCTCGGCTATATTTTTTTATGTCATGTGGAAGGGGGAGTCTGTTGTAGAAACAGTTTTGGAAAGGGAATGATCTGCATTTGCTTTATTTAACCTAGCTGGAGAACATAGGAGGGAGCTGGGTCAGAGAGAATAAACTAAGGAGCAGACTGGAGACAGGCGACAGCTCTGCATAGCTGCTGAACAGCTCCAGTGCCCGCTAATCAATGAGGAAGAAGAGCACAGATTTCACCTCTGTCAAAATGGGAAATACTACAAATCTCAGAAGAGCAGGGTTTTGATGCATGAATGCTGTGTAACATGAGCAGGAAAGGGAGAGAAGTAAAAGCATGTTCAGCCACTTCTGGCAAAGGAGACTGCAAGGGACTTGCTCCTTTCTGCTGCAGGAAGAAGCAGCACAAGTGTGTTCTTGCTTGTCTTTTACCTTAGTAATATCAAGGGCATCAAGTCTGGTCTTGCTGTAGGGCCTCTCTCAAGTGTTTAAATCAAATAGGTGTTTTCTATTGTTTAGACTGGGGTGATAGCATCTAGAGGCCAAACAAAAAATCTAAGTTATAAAAAGTCAATTCCTCTCAATTTTCACTCACTCAGTATTTGTGATTTCAGAGTCCTATTAGTTCTCAAGTCATCCAGGGCCAACTACACCTGTATTTCTAATATAAAGAATAAGCTGAAAAGACACTATTTTCAGGCCTTTTATGTCCACAATGTAAGGAAGCAAAAAGGCACAAAAACCCACTTTTCCTCAGCATGCCCTGTAACTAAGCTGTTTTTGACACAGCACCGTTATCCATAGATTTTAAAAAGACTTTGCACATATTTGTTCACAAAACCCTCGCAAGGCGTCCTCTTTACCTTCTGTAAAGATGAGCAAAGGTGAAATGACAGTGAGTCAATGGCAAATGGGAACAGAACCTGCATCTTATTTCTTGTCTCACTACTTTAGTGGTTCCTGTGAATGAGAAAGTGTGGTTGGTCAAAATGTGAAAGTTCTGAGCTCACGCCAAGTTGGACCCAGCAATCCTTATGCAAGAAGAGATCCCATGAAATCATTGAGAAATTTACCAGAGTACAGGCTTCTGTTTTACTGGGGAAAATAATGGAAAATTAATCTGAGTTGGTTTAATGTGAGGCTGGCTGCTCTGAGAGAAAGCAGCCAGGCAGTTTTCTAACCTGCTCAGCCCATCTAATGAATTGTTCAAAATATGAAGTTAGAAGTTGCCCATTATTTGATTACAGTGAATACAGCTACATAACTAAACTGAGTCCAAGACAAATTCTAAAAACACAACGAGACAGCCACTCAGATAATTTCTTGGACTTACTTGATGCTTTAATTAATTTAGCTATACATTTTAAAATTCATCCTGAGGCTACTCTTAAGATAGAGGCGTGTGGGTCTCACGGATTAAATGGAAACACTGAGCATGCATCCAAGGGAACGAAGTAATGTATTTTTAAAACTCTTGTACATTCTGTCTGTAATTTGATGGATTTTAGTGTTAGACAAGAAGATTCTGCAGTAAGTCATGACCCTATGACTAATAATATAAAGTTTATTGTGATAGAGGATTAGTCTTTTCATCAACGTACAATACACAGCGCTTTCTATGAATAGCCCAACTGCAGCATGGCAACATCCAGTTCCAAGGGACTTAGGAGCTGAGAGCGAATGGTCGCTGGTACTTGCCTTCCTGGATAAGTTTCTCTTTACGATCCTGTATTGAGAAGGAAAAAAAAAAGAAGAGATATGCTCCATGGCACAGACTGATCTGCAAGGAGAAAGGGCTCACTAGTTCTTAAGCACAGAAACTAGAGACAGCACCAATTAAACAGCACTCTAGAAACAGCTGTGAGGACAAAATATCCTGTCATTCCCCTGTGCACATCAGCCAGGAATGCAATACATCCAAACGCAGAAGCAGCTGTGTGGCTCATCTCCTCATAAACAAAGTGATGGACAGAGATGGAATAAACCTCTATTAAGGCACATCTATCCCACTTCCATTAGCCAGTGAGGACTGTTCCCTATAAAGTATTCTCTCCAGGGCTTTGTCCTGACTAATTTAAAACATCTTAACTTGATGGGGCTTCCACCCCTTCACTTGGGTGAATAACCAACAGTTTAATATATTTCACTGTCAGGAAACAAAAAAAAATTACTTTATGTTCTTCCTACATTTTTCTTTGTCCACTTTTCACCCTCATTATATCACCTTGCACCACCTTATTATTTATATTGTGTTAGCAACCAGGACCCCATTGTGCTAGGTGCAGTACAAACAGAACAGAGAGACTTTCAACTTTTTGGGGTAGGGACAATCTAAGGAACCAGAACCAATCACCTCCCATCTTGGTGTTTACACCCTTAGTACTTTGGAGAAAGGGGGTAATTTGCTGCCTCCCTCCATAAAGGAGCTGGCAAGGTAACCCACAGAACTATTTTGTGATAAAGTTGAAAGCTTTAAATATCCCGTCAGTGTGTGCAGGCTTCAATTATATTCAGCCAATTTCATATTACAGTTTCCTGTGCCTGGCAAATGCTGAAGCATTTGGATTGCAAGACACTGCAGGGGATGTTCATATTCAACCAAAAAGTGT